AATCACCAATATAGCTCCAATCAATAACGAATTTAGAACAGACCTCTTCAGTAATTTTGGAGATGTTAATTTCATGTACTTTTTGTGAAAGAAACGGAAGCATCTGTCACCAGAGGAAGGTTGGTGTTACGATACAGAGCAATGGACGCGAGAACCGACCCTCAGTCCGCCATTCATGAGACGATGCCTATAGAAACACGGGAAAAATGGTATTGTCGTGACGTCATGTCATATGCATCTGTTGCGCAAATAAAAATAATTTACTGTAAGGAATCAGCGCCATACAAAAGTTTACGACTCACAGAAATTTGAACAAAACACCTTGAGTACAGATCGTATTGTTTCTTAACAGATCTTAAGCCAGAGCGTTTGTTTAGAGATTGCAAAACAATTTTAACATAAAGACGGCCATTTTCTGAAATGCGATACCCTGTAGTACGACTGAAGTTTACTGAAGTTTCAGACGAAACTGCTTCCTGTTTATTTGTTAATCTTCGTCCATGAAAACAGAGTCAGTACGTTCCTCCATATCGTCAGTAACGTCTATCAGACTATACGGCGTCACATCTCAGAACATACTATCTTTCACAGCCACTGCTGCAACAACCTCAAACCCAAGGTTACTACAGTATGCCATTTGCACCACCCAGTGTTACATAAAAGCCATGTAGCTAGCACCGAGAGCACGTGAAAAGGCATGCTTTAACACAGTAAGACAGGGCTGTCAAAAGATAAGTCATATGTGACATGATCAATATTTCTTACGTAACAATACATATAATAGCATGATAGCGCAATCGGTACAGCTACTGGCTACGGGCTGGACGACCAAGAGGTCGGGGTTCGATTCCCGGTAGGGGTAAGAATTTTCTCTTCTCCATGTCGTCCAGACCGGTTCTGGAGTCCACCCTGCCTCCTATCCTATTGGTACCGGGGGCTCCCCAGGGATAAAGCGGCAGAAGCGTGATGCTGATCACTCGCCTCGAACTAGTGCCGAGGCCAAGAAAACGTGGATCTATACATCTATATGTCTTCATGGCGTAGTGCTTAACTAGTCGTGAGCACAGCGTTTACCTCTTCGTTAGCGAAATATGGAACATTGTCATGTGATATAGAAAGTACGAGGCAGCGCCGCAAAACGGATAAAACGATAATTAGGTCTGCTCGTTGAGGTCACTACTGCTGATGTTCTGGTGTTCTGGTGGTCCCGCTCTGACGCAGAACTCTGAGTATCCATTCAAAGAACTGAAAGACGTGAGACGACTGTACGGAGAAGCACAACATAACAGAACAGTCACCGCTTGTCCGCAACGACGACATCACTCGCAGAACATCCGGTTCCGCTACGTATGCGGCCCTATATACTGGTAGACATCGAAGTTGGAGGAGGAGTGCCCATGGCCTGTCGTCGCATTTGCTATCGAACGGCAGCGCGGGTGTAGCATTATCCCCTGCGGTTATCTATAATGTTGGATCGTTTCAACATCTTCTCTAAACTGTTATTCATGGGCCAGATGCTGTGGTCACAGTCAATAAACCCTTTATTCATAACTACGTTAGTTGCCTACTTTTCTTTCCTCGCGTTTCCTGCCGCCATTTCTGTCCAACAAAGCGGTTGTGACCAAGTGACCGTTCCTGCTTACCTATAAATATAGAACGCTATACTGTACAGGCATACCTCATTGTATTGCGCTCAGCAGATATCGCGTCTTTTATAAGTTGAAGGTCAAGGAATAATTTCAACTTTCAAGTCTTATTATTTAAGAAGTACCTTTCGTAAGGCTACAGCTGTCATAGACAGTGATTTCTCTGATGGATCTGGGTAAAGTAAATTGAAAGCCTTCTGGAGAGAATTCACCCTTCCAGATGCCATTAAGAATATTCGTGAAGTCAAAATTCTGTGTGTATGAATCGGGAAATTGAAATCAAACACCTAGAAGTTGCTCGCGTCCGTGACATTCTCTAAGTCATACATGTCCCCTGGGTAGTGCAAAATGAGCAACAGACCTGGCAAAGCTTCCCAAAAGTAAAGCGCAAACTTCTTCAAGATGCAACAAAGCAAGAACTTGATTGTTCTCTCTTGGGAAGCAAGAAGCACAATGGGTCAAATGATCCTAAATGCAGCCATTGAAAACCAATCAACCAAAATTCGTGGAGTCAAAATATCAACAGTAACATGAGTTTGGAAGAAGGTGACTCCAACCCTCACGGATGACTTTGAGGGGTTCCAGACTTCAGTGGAGGAAGTAACTGCAGATGTGGTGGAAAAAGTAAGATAACTAGAACTAGAAGTGGAGACTGAAGTTGTCACTAAATTCTGCAATCTCATGATAAAACTTTAACGGATGAGGAGTTGCTTCTTATGGATGAGCAAATAAACTGCTTTCCTGAGATGGGATCTGCTCCTGACAGTGCCGTGAACATGGTTGAAATGACAACAAAGGATTACGTAAACTGAAGCTTTTCAGGCGTATAGCCTGCAGCGTGTCTCCCAGGGGCTACGATGTACGAGCACAGCAGGGGGCCATATTGTAGCTAGGTACTGTGTTCACAACCACAAGAGTTTGCTGTTGAACATTCAATGGTTGTTAAATAAGCATAAGTTGAACTTTGTATTTGAGCTTGAGGGCCTTCGCGCCTTACATAACCTCTCAGCTAACAGTGACGCACAATCCGCAGAGCCAATGACCGTGTGTTAAACAAAGAGGTACTTATGTTTACTCTGTCCAGTGAAGGCAGGACGCACACATGTGCGGAGCTTACTGACCTGGTGGTAATCAGCATGCAACAAGCAATGAGCAGCGTCTTGCGAAAATCATGTCATGTCATCCAAAATTTAGCGTTTCGGTACAAAATAAAATGGATAAACATAGATAAAACTGGCCAAATTGCTGATTTAAGGCCACTCATGCCGATCACAGTGGCCGCGCGGTCTAATGTAGGAAACGCACTGTCACGTGTATTAGTGACTATAGACGGGGTTTGGATTGGTGAATAGGTCATAACTACAAATAACTATAACAGTATTGCTGATCTCCACACTCCACATCACACCCCACAAGTCTTCTCAAACTGCTTTCACCAGTCTTTACTTGGCAGCAGCTCTCCGCAATTGCAATTCATCTGCAGTGTCCTCACTAGACGTTTCCTGTTATCGAATCTTAGCTTCCGTTGTCCGCTGGTTAACACTCCACAGCTATAACCTCAATAGAACTCAACTACTGAACTGAACTGCCAATTATTTCTCGCCTCTCATTATACAGACTCTGGGCGGACTTCGCGGAAAAGACATGTCAAGTGTCAGAATGCGTGTTCATTGGCCGGTTTCCCAGCACTGCGCATGGTGCGGATCACATAGAAAACACTTCTTCTGTTCCCAGAATTCGTGTTTATCGGCCCGTTGCCTAGCACAGGGCATGGCGCGGACCACATCGCAAACACTTCTCCTAACACCCTTTCTATTGTTGTGTGCGCGTATTTTGGATGTTGCCTAGAAATGGGTCTACATTTCACAGTAAGTACTGTACCGTTCAAATACTGGGATAGTGGATTTGAATCCCACTTAAGGCATGGATGGCTGCGTTTATTCTCTGCTCGTGTTTGTCCTGTGTAGGTAGGGGCCTTTCGTCGGGCTCATCCCCTGTCCAAGGAATCCTACTAAATGCCTATAAGACATACAACAAACACTATTTAAAGTGACCGCCAGCTATCTGAACGCCACATTATGAAAGTGTGGCAACACTGATCTCAGAAACGCGATATCAAGTCCTAAGAGGACACTTTAAACAGTCAGTGTAACACGTTTCGTTATTAAATAATCCTTACGTCTGTCTACTTAGGTGCAGACTGAAGTTACTGTGTAACTTTCACCGAAATATCTTATTTCTGGTGAGCAATGAAGATGTATCGAGAAGTGGTATAGTTCCACGCATTAACATCAGCACTTCATGGAAGTGAGTTTCAAGCCCCGGCCGCTTTACCCCCTTCGTGAGAGCTCCTGGTTCCCAGTGGATAAGAGGCTGGCCAGACACCAAAACCTGTATAGACGCTGTAAAGAAGAAAATGTTCTGCCCCTGTAAGGAATAGAACCCCGATTCTCAGTATTCAGTCCGTGTCCTAGTTACTATAACGACCGAACAAACGGACATGTAACAACACCGCGAAAGTTCGCTCAAGTGGCAACATTTGTGAGCTGTGTTAAGGTGGCCGTAACGCCAAAATTCGTGCGATGACTCAGTGTCCCAAGACAAATGACGGGGTAGTACCTTACATTAGGCCACGACCGCTTCTTCTTACATACTTTCTAATCCGTTTTTAGTTATCATCATAGCATTCGGCGCTATATACTGAGGAACTCTCAGCATCGTTAAATGAACTATAAATCTCACTCTACGGTGCGCGCGCATTTGTTGCAGGTAGTACTAATTCCGCGGGTAAAGCGGCCTCCGTAGTCTAGGGGTAACGTTCACACCTCATGACCCGGCGGAGGTCGTGGAATTTTTAAGGGCGGAAAAATTCAGGGAACAAGTCCTCCGGGAGGTACTTTAAGCCGTGGGTCCCGTGTCGTAGATTTACGGCACGTAAAAGATCCTCATGTCTGACCTAAATTACGAAAAAAGAAAGTTTCCCGCCCAAGTAGTTTCCAATGCCTCTGGTAGATGGGGGAAGTATCAGGTACCGAGGGCCGACCTCGTTGGCTGAACGGGGCTGATAGCACGCACCAGTACCGGTAGGGTATGGCGACTGGTAGAATATCAAAGGGGGACGTACAACAGACTATTAGTCGCGGTGCATGGGGAAACTCACCCCCTTCTAATAATAATAATAAAATAATTATTCCGCCGGTAGGCGGATCTGCCAACAGTCCCCTAACAGCAGGTGTCATTTCCGGGCAAAATACTGTCTTCGAAAACTTGTACCTTGCATTCCATTGTGTGTACGAGAAGCGTAACCTGTACAAAACAAATAAATAAATAGACACATAATAAAGAAAAACTTACCACGTATCCAAATACATTCCAGGAATGGTTTCTCCAGGGCAGGCCATCTTTGTGTTTATAATGTCTCAGTTTGTATCGGTTCATTTTCACTCACTGTCAGCTTACATTGTCAGATCTTTCTTCTATTGTCACTTGAAACATTTCGTATCTGCAATAGGAAACCGTTTCAGACCCGAACGCTGAGAATGCACATGTTTATCGAGCGCTATTCACAGTACAAATATGAACACATCCAGTTGCCTTAAAAAGAATATAATTACATCTTATCTCTGTATGTACGAGGTCACGATGAACTCAATTCGGATCTCATTCACTCTACTAAAATTCCAGCCATTAAACTTACAGTGACCGGGGTCAGACGAACTGTAGTACAGATAAGAGAAATCAAAGCTACTAAACATGATATTTACCAGTTTGTACACGTACAGTGTAGTGCAGTCGAAATGCCAGTATGAAGCCATTCACTGTTGTCTGTAAGTATCTTTTGTGGGCATTGATATCCGTATTTATAAAAATTGTTATTTGACCTACCATGCGATTTGAATATAACTATTTTAATATCTTAACAACACCAGTATAAACGAACTAGTAATATATTTCAAGATGTAGTGGTTTGTAAAGGTGAGATAAAAAGCTATGAAATTTGGCAATTGCGCGCTGCCATCACAATGAACTGCCGATCTGTAACACGTATGAACGTTGCGTTATGCAATGTGTCACGAAAGAGCGAGTAGTCTTTCGTACAGTTTATCGTGTCTATTTTCTGGGTGTTGATATTTTGATGTGGATATGGCAGTATGGTATTCTGTACAAAGAAGACGGTTTACGATTGACTATTTGTGCCTATTATTCATGGGAGAAGATGTTAAATGTCGGCCTCGATATATTGTTCGATAACATGTAGAGCTGGAAATGAATATGGGAGAAACCAAGGGAAGTTAACGAAAGCTTATATAACAATTTTTTGCGATTTTCCTTTGAATTCTCAACGGGTGTTAAAGAGCTCATAACGTATTACACATGTCCATGGATGGAGGTCATTTTCATTAGCTGGCAGTCTCCTAATTTACCAACAAATTCCCAGTCATTTATAGAAACCGGAAAGTCATTGCAGTGCTGACAAGTGTCCATTATTTAACTCCTGTAGTTAAGAGCACATGCCACCCGCGCTAACCCGGCTAATGAGGTAAACAGGTAAAGTTGTCCCTGTGCATAACTAATTAAGCAATACGCCATGAAGGTGTATGGGGAAGTGGATCTATAGATCCACATTTTCCTGACCTCGGCGCTAGAGGGAGATGAGTGGTCAGCCTCACGCCCCGGCCGCTTTACCCCCAGTACCTATTGGCATGTTGCTTAATAAGTTCAGCATAGGGACACCTTTACCTTTTAATCCTTCCTCCTTTATTCTGAAAGGACAACAGTAGGCTCATGAGATTACCAGTCTTTATGAAAGTTGGTATGCATATCACGGCACTTTGCCCGTCTCAGTGGCGTACTTCATAAATCCATACCATCCGTATGTATGTCTGTATGCGTATCCCCTATCGTTGCTAGGCAACGGCTCGGTAGAAACGTTATCCCTGCAACGAATACACACGCAATAGCAGAAGAATTGTTGCACACGTGGTTTCTATGCCATCCGTGTCTCATCAAAGGAAATTAGGCGATTAGCTCTTCCCAGAACTTCTTATTTACTTTTTACTTCGAATGAGCAACAGAGAGTTTTATTTATACACAAAGTTGTAGCATGTCCTAGCGCGGACCGCGTGGAGAACAGTGGGTGGAATCATACAAACTGCATTAAAGCTATCTCAGTATCGGAGTTAATGAGCATCCGTTTAGCGATTTTTGAATTGTTACATGCTGACAGAGAATGCTCTCGAACGCGTCAGAAATTAGTGTACTCCAAGTCGGAACAAGTTCCTTAATTATGCTAATTTCCGCCAGTCCCTTCAGAGCGATTTAAGACTTTGCAGGACAGGATACTCATCATGGAGGCTTTATGAGATAATCTTTTCATAAGTCGTAAGAAACGAAAAAGCCCTAATCTCAGAGTACTAAGAAACAGTAATAAACAAGGGTGTACTGTTCCCAATACAGTAAAAGGCAGAGGTAAAGCTATCCCTGTAACAGGGCGTGAAGGCCTGTAGGGCTGTGAGATGTCGAGGCTGCCAAATTTTCTCTAAACAATCGTCTAACAGGCCGGTCACGGTAGCCGAGTGGTCTAAGGCATGCACTGTCTTCGCTCGCTCGGAAGCCGGGATCGTGGGTTCGAATCCCACTCAGGGCATGGATGTTTGTGTGCATTTTTCTGTGTTTGTGTACAGGTAGAGGCCTTGCGACGAGCTGATCACCCGCTCAAGGAGTCCTACCGAATGTGTAAGATCGAGAAAAACCGAAGTGAACGGAATTCATGGAGGTAGGCCTAGGTCCACTGGGGCTATAGTGCCAAGGGGGAAAAAAAATCGGATAACAGATGGCGGTGAGGCCTGATCAGAACCTTATCAATATATTTATCACGTTTCCTGAATATGTACTTCTACAGACTAAAATTGACACTAGTGGCAAGAAAATCAGTGACGTAGAAATCACTATATATGTATGTATGACAGACGTCAAGAGAACAAGATATGAATGTCAGAGAACATGATATCTGTGCCGAGATAAATTTCTGATATTAATCTCACCATTACTGAGAGCGCTGATTAACTTTGAATTGTCCAGAATTCATAACTTAAGATCGTGTATTTCCTGTATCAGGCCGTGAAGGCCCACAGGGTTGTGAGACGTCGAGGATCCCACATTTTCTAGACAATCGGTTCACAGATGGCGGTGAGGTTGTCAGCCTTACGCGCCGGCCACCGTTTATACCCAGGAAGATTACTGGTACTTATTTCTGTTACAGGCTGAGTCGACCCCAGGATCATAATACGGCTGGAAAGATTAGGTTAATTGAAAAATGCAATGACCTCATCGGGAAGGGAACTCGCGACCTTTCGGCTTGTAGTATGGGGCCTCGGCAAACTATTCTACCCCTTATTATTATTATTATTATTAGAGGGGGTGGGTTTCCCCATGCACTTAGACAAGTTATTAATCCATTGTGCGTCCCCCTTTAATTTCTACTGTCGCCATACCCTACCGGTACTGGTGCGTGCTACCAGCCCCGTTCAGCCAACGAGGTCGGCCGTCGGTACCTGATATTTCCCCCATCTACCAGAGGCATTGGAAACTACTTGGGCGGGAAATTGTTACCTAATTTTGCTCAGAGGTCTCCTAGAGACATGATGATCTTTTACGTGCCGTAAATCTACGACACGGGACCCACGACCTCCGCCGGGTTTGAACCCGCGTACCTTGAGTCATGAGGTGGGAACGTTACCCCTAGACTACGGAGGCCGCTTATTCTACCGCTTGCCCAAATATTTAAGTGGCTCTGCTTGCCACTTGTCATTTCTTGCTCGGGTTATTCTTCGACAATGAAGATGGATGCGACGTGTTCATCCTAAACATCGTTTGACTTCCAACGGATTACAAGGCGGGAGAACCTCAGATCTTATAAATACAGCTTTAATAGTAAAATTATTGAAATGTAAATGAAAGGTTATTTACGCTTGAATTATTTTACAATAAAAATCTGAATTTGACTGAAATCTGTACTTTAACGTGGTTCTAGAACTATCAAGTTTTTCGGTTGTTGTACCACGGCGATATTTATTTTCCAAATTAACATATTTTTATTTACAGTCCCGTTACCACTCGCACGCTCTATCTGAATACGGACTAAGTGTTCTTCAGGCCGCGCCATAGTTCAAGCGGGTTAGTTTTTGTTTGGGCCGCGCCATAGCTTAAGCGCTTAGTCTAGTCTATGAGCTCGATTTCGGGTCTGGTCAAGTGGGATTTGTGGTGGACAAAGTGGCGCTGGGGCAGGTTTACTCCGAGTACTTCGGTATTGGTGGATTGAAAATTGGCAGGGGAAACCTAAGTACTCTGAGAAAACCTGCCCCAGCGCCACTTTGTCCACCACAAATCCCATTTGACCAGGCCCGAAATCGAGCTCATAGACTAGACTAAGCGCTTAAGCTATGGCGCGGCCCAAACAAAAAGTGCGTAAACAATCTCTCTTGTCAAATTGAGTGGTATAGCTACATTTAAAACTACATTACAGTGCCATCTATGGGAAACTCCTAAAACTATATGACTAGCGAGACACGGTGGCAGTTTTCCGAAAATTGTCAGTTTGTGGGTGACGTACTGGTGAGGTTTGTGAATGTACGTGTAACCTCCCCATTGCCAGCTAACGTAGTGACGTCACCATTCATTAGAGGCGTTGTTAAAAATCGGTCTTCCCCGGTCAGAAGGTTATAGTCATAAAACGGTGTATCGTATTTCAAGAAATTGGGTCCGTTTACTTATTATGCAGAACTTGCAAGAAGAGGCCATACAGAATATTGGTCTAGGACAGAGGTAGAGAACTAGGGCCCGCTGGCGGGACACGACCTGAGAGAGCTTATTATTCGGCAAGCGGAAATGGAGAATTTGCCCACGTTATTTTTAACTTACATAGTTTCTTTGCAATTTCTCAAGCAATTTAGTAACGCATTTCTACACTGGAACATAAGAAGTTTATTTCAGGTGACTGTTCCAGATATGGGCGTAAAACTTGGTCTTTGATATTATGGGAAGAATATAGACTGGACGTATTTGGGAACAGAGTCCTGAGGAGAATGTTTGGACCGAAGAAAGATAAGGTGACAGGAAGTTGGGGAAAAAAACTGCATAATGAGGAGCTTCATAACTTGAACTCTTCGCCAAGTAAAATTAGAATGATCAAGTCAAGGAGGATGAGATGGGGGGGCATATAGCACGAATGGGAGAGAAGAGGAATGCATATAACATTGGTGGGAAAGCCAGAATGGAAGAGACCACTGGGAGGATGGGTGAATAATATTAAAATTGATCTTAGAGAAATAGGTTGGGATGGTATGGACTGTACTCATCTAGCTCTGGATAGGGACCGGTCCAGGGCTCGTGTCAATAAGGTAATGAACCTCTGGGTTCAGTCAAATGATGGGAAATTCTTGAGTACTTGAGCGACTGGCGGCTTCAAAAGAAAGGCTCAGCTCCATGCAGTTAGTTTGTTACTTATATTGTTGCAGCTGTGGACATTTCTTAACGGCCTCCGTAGTCTAGGGGGTATATCAACTTCAGAATATGAGTTTCCTGAACTCTGTCCATTCTTCAGCACTCCAAACAGAACGATACATTTCGGAAACTCAGGACCCTCAAGACTGTTTCTGTTCTTGGGCGAAGGAGCGGCGAGGGGACCTAAAATCCTCTACCGAAGAAGGGGCAAGGCAGAGTACGTTATTCTGGATTGAACCCAGTGTTGTTCGGGAAAAGCTTGACGTTTTGGAGGAACATATCTGCTTTCTTTCTTGGTTTACTATTTGACCCTGAGGATCAAATATAATAAAAATGTATTGTTTGAAAACAAAAGTTTCCATTGAAAAAGACTCATGACTACTTGATACATTTGACGAAAATGTGGATCGATTGTTTTGCTTCGGAACATTCTGTGTTGTGGGAACTGCCCACATTCAAGCAAGTGTTCATGTTCTTCCACATCCTTCACTGCAGAATATATCAATCTATTGGATTTGAGGGGAAGGGGCACGCGGTACCGTAGTTGGTTGAGGCACTATGCTACGAGCCGGAAGATCGCGGGTTCAAGCCCCGATGAGGTCATTGGATTTTTTTTTAATTTACCTAATCCTTCCAGCAGCACTATGGCCCTGGGGTCTATTCAGCCTCTAACAGAAATGACCACCAGGAATTAATTAAATAATTTTCCTGAGGAGTAAGGTGCGGCCGGCGCGTAAGGCTCACAACCTTACCGCCATCTTTGAACCAATTGTCTAGATAACGTGGGACCCTCAACGTCTCACAACCCTATGGGCCTTCACGGCCCCTTACAGGCATAGCTTTACTTTTTCTTTTTTTACTTCGGCGGATTTTATAGGTTCCTACAGCGGTAACTATAAAGAATATTATCGTCCTGTATGTGACGTCGTGTAGCCCGGTAGAAGTTCAGTTGGTATCTGACCTCGTGCAACCCAGTAAGAAGCTTGTCTGCGACGCAACATGCAATACGTGTACCGTACCTACCGGAATACATGGCTTTACATCTCAGATACCAATCGATTTTAAACCTGAAAATGCATTATACCTGTAGTGAGCCGTAGGAAATATTTAATCTTACCCAGTTCGAATCACACATGCTTGGTTTTCTTACCTCACACGGAAAGTGTCCTAGTGTGTACCGTACTACATTACGTAATACCAAATTCGAGAAGTTCGAGAACCTGATTTTGCAATAAATTTCCCAAAACTCCGGGGATACGTTTGCATAGAATGGGAAATTCGGTTCCATAATCCTATTGGTAGACGTCTGTAGTCCTGCTAAGTTAAGCATGTTGAGTAGTTTAGGTTGTAAGATGTGTCGAAATTAATGCCTAGTGTACTGTTTTGAAATATATTTGCGAACTGGTTGGCAGCTGTGTCAGATTTGCTTAAAGGTGGCTCATAGTTTATCAGTATATGGTGCATGTATACCCATGAGAAGTATACGGTTGTCTTAATGTGTCGCGGTAATTTTTTTAGGTTATGAGGGTGCTTAAAATGTTTTATTCGGTTATTGGTTGTCTGTTTCAGGATGAGTGTAATTAAAATATGTCCACCACCATCAGAACTTTCTGTAATAAAGACAAACATTCATTGTCCTGAGGAAGATTGCAGAAGTGTATTTAAAAATACTGCCAATTTAGACATGCATTTATTGAAGCACCATAAGAAGAGCACATTAAAGAAAGGCGATGGAGTAAATTGCCAGTATCATTGTCCCATCGACGAATGTCCATATAATTTAAATTCAAGACAGTTTTTCAAGCGTTTGAAATACTTGAAGCAGGTAAATGTACCATACTATTGCTGCTGCTACTACAACTATAATAATGTAATTATTAGGTAATGGTAAGTTGTAGAAACCTTTGCTCTTGCCTTGCCAAGTTTTATGTAATCTGACCAGCCCTCATCCCAAGGCACTGCAAGTTCCAACCATTTATTAGTTTGAACAAAAATTTCCATGGAAGTGGACTGGAGTGAGCTGTTCAGCAGAAACGTGAAATAAACAGTATGTGATTTTTTTCGTTAGAGGATAAAACATGATGCCAGCTAGTGTACCTGGCACATTTAAGAACACATAAATGATGCTACTGTTAGTTTACTTGAAAGTAATGTATTTATTATGTAGTTTAATGTGTCAAGAACAGTATTTAGGGTGTATTTGACATCTTTCAGATAATGTAAATCTGCTCTGATTACAACTATGCACAGTTGTGTGAATTCATAATTTCTGCCAACTTGCATCAACTGACAGAAGCACTGTATGAAATATGGACATTCTTGTTAAATAAAAAGATTTTGTCAGTTATATTATATCTACTTCTCTCTTAAAATAATATGAACTCAGAAATTATACGTGCATATAATGATTTTGATTTATTTTCAGCATTATTTGAAAGTCCACGCAGAAAAGGTTTTTCAATGTCAAAAATGTCTCAAAGGGTTCTCCACAGAAGCAGCCAAGACACATCATACAAGAATCTGTGGGATCAAATTCATTTGCTCCTGTAACCATACTTATGATTCATATGAGGCATTGCTCACTCATGCAAAGAGATTGTCACACACATTTGACGAGAAGTTCAAATCATATGGAAAGTATGTATTACTCAGGAACAATATAATCTGTAAGGTACTACAAATTGCAGTTGAATGGGTATTATTCCTCCTTCAGGGTGTTTCAGGTTCAAGTTTTTGCCCTGAGATTGTGCAATCCTGACTGAAGTCTTGCAGATAAATGTCAAGATACAGGTGTTCCAGAAATTTACCACATTCTTGTGCTTTCATCCTTGTGTGTGTATGCATGAGTGTACAGCATGTTAGTAGCAGAAAACTATAACAGCAAGCAGAACTGCAGTGCAGAAATGTCATCAAATCATTCTTATATGTAAAGGTAAAGTCCCTGTGCTTAACTAATTAAGCACTACACCATGAAGGTGTATGGGGGAGTGGATTTATAGAGCCAAATTTTCTTGACCTCGGCACTAGTTTGATGTGAGTGGTCAGCTTCACACCCCAGCCGCTTTAACCTGGGGAAGGAGTACCCAGTACCCATTGGATAGCAGGCCAAGTGGGTCCCAGACCTGGTCTGGATGACGTGAAGAGAAAATTCTTCATCTTACTGGGACTCGAACTGCAGCCCCTGTCATCCATCCCGTAGACAGTCGCTATACCGACTACGTTGTGTTCAAAATATATGCCATTAGTGTCATGATGTACAGTGTCAAACAGTGAAGTGCAATGTGGTAACATTATTCTGTAACTGTATTAGTTGACAATACTTATGAATGTTAGTATACCAAAAATTCATTATAACATATCTTTTGCATTTGGGAAATTCTGAATGTCTTGTTTGTATCACAAATAAGAACAATACGTACATTCAAACAGAATTTAAATTAAGAGTAAACCTCGCGAAAAGTATAAAAAAACACAAACTTTATACATATTTTAATGTAAAGCATCTTGTGGTTTGTTCCATTGACCATTCATCTAAATATATTGCATACAGATAATATAATTGGACAAGTTGGGCATTTTAAAAAGCTCCTTCTTTGACTCCTAACAGGAGTCTAAGATCTATTGTGGAGCTCATTGAAGTCTCCTGTCCAACAGGTACTGAGGGCACGTTCCCCAGGGTAAAATGGTGAGCATGAAGCCCGCCTCACCTCCATTTAATGCGGACATTAAGAATGCATGTAGTTTTAAGCCCATACCTGACAGTGTTAGATATTCAGCTCTTTGGACAAGTCAGGTACAATGTCTGAAGTTCTTCTTTGGCAGTAATAATTCTGAAACTAACATGCCATGACTCAAATTACGTTGATTTTTTCTAATTTGAATACAACTTGCAGACAGAATTTCTTTTTAATGTGGCATTCTATATAACTTATTCATTTGAATTTCAGACGATTTACTGGCACAGTATCTGACAAGGAAAAGAAAACCACAAATGTGGGAAATTGCCAAGAACTTCAGTTTGTTTCAGCAGCAGTTGCTGTGCCTGTACACTTAGTGGCAGCTGTTGCTCTGAGTGAGCTTTCTGGGATAGGCTTAGGAACTGCTGTGGATAAAGGAGTTCAAACAGATGGGCAAATTGTAGCCAGTAAGAGAACAAAGAAAGCGCCCAGCCCGTTTAAATCTTGTGAAAGGGCAACTAAACGCAGGATGTCAGCTCAGACACAAACAGGGATTCTGCCACGAAATAAACGTCCCAAAATCAGTGCACAGACTCAAACTATAGGTGATTACATCCTCAAAAAGGCAATGAAAGATGCTGATATTCTAATCCCTCATGGAAATCAAAAATCTGCTATAAAGCAGACAATGCATGGTGTGACAAGGAAGAAAAGGAAGAGTATGGAGACACAGACTGTGAGTCACATTGGTACCAAAACAAAACTTAAAAATCAGCGTCTGAATGACTTTCATACAAAGTACCCACATACAGACACTAATTTTACCTTAAATGATTTTCCGTCAACATCTAACATGACTTTGTCTGACAACCCTACTTCGTATAGACTTGGGATTGATGTAGGATTGCCAGATCTGTGGGTTAGCCAGAAAAATTCATCAAGCACACAAACGAGTCCCATAGCAATGGATGCTCTAATGGAGCAAGAGGAAATATTAAGTCACAGTGTAACCCAAACAGATCTAAATTTGTCATTTTTTGGATCAGAGTCATGTGAGCCCAGCTCAAGCAGCATTCATTCGAGTTCTCAAACAATGCATAGTTTACAAAGATATTTTGAAGATAATTCGAACTGTAGTTTTAGTACAGAGGTTAACAGTGTAACTTCTACATTTGAGCCTGAATTGGCCTCTACTTCATGCAGATCAAATATAGAAAGTAATCTGGGAACATTAGCTGATGAACCTTCACAGATGGACAGCTTCCTGATGCAACATCGTAAAATTTCCTTTGATGTAAATCGTTCCTGCAGTATAGAAACTCAGACAGAATTAGATTTTAGTGGTTCTTTCCTAACAGACTGTGCTGATGATGCAGATACATCTTTCACCTTTTGTTCCAACATTGAAACTCAGACTACAGAAGATTTCCCATCTTTTGATCATCTCCTTTATACAAATATGTATACACAAACTTGTGATGAGACTTTTTACTCTGAACTTGGATTTGTGAATATTGAAACCCAAACAGCCTGGCCACAGTTTGGTGATGACGACTCTATGCTTGTTTCAACAGAAACTCAGACAGCATTGTCAGGATGTTCTAGCTCATTCAGTTACATGCCAAAATCATGATAAACTTCCAGAATAAATTCTGAAACAAGCCACATGAAACCAAAATAGATATAGATGAATTGCTGGAACTCATTGCTGAATTATTGAAGCAGGCATCTGATGACAAGTTACTGTGAGACTTGTGGAAACTGTAAATGAAGAGTTGTAGTATGTAAAGGTGAAAAAGATTGCATATGGCTGTAGCTGTCCTTGGACATTGCCAGGGAAGATAATTTCTTTGTGCATCAGATACACTTTGAATTTGAAGTTGGGTAAATGTGCATTATTATATAATGTCAGCAAATTTGTGTTGTAGGAAACCCCTTTGTCCTTCAATGCAGCTGTTATGTGTCAACTTTAAGTCTTGGCTTACATGTTTTATGTTAAAAGTATGTGGAAATATGAATGTGCTGTAAACATGTTCCTTGTTTTTGCACCTTTTATGTATCACATAACTAAGAGTCACCTAAGACATAATAAATATAATAGTTGTGTTAATATTTATTTTCTGTCTCTAGAACCTCAACTATCATGTCTGTCTGAAAAGTCCCTGTCTAGTGCAGAAGAGTTTCTGCAAGAACTGATACGAAGTACTGGAGCAAATTCTGTTCACTACATCAAGCACAATGAAAGATCATAAATAAGTCACTGAAATTTCTATACTGTTGCAGTACTGGAGCCTATTTAAAAATCCATTGTAAAAATAAATTGATGGCATTCTTGAAAAAGACTGCAAATTGATCAATCCAGCAGCATAATGTTCATACCAGATTTCATGAACATTATTCAAGTCGTTCAATAATTGGAAAGTGGGTGAGGGGACACTTTTTTTAGCCATAGAAAAGTGATGATTATTGTACAGCAGATGGAACCGACACATGAAGAAAAGCACTGGCATCAAAGGGTCATTCTATATGCACTCAGTATGTTGTCTTCTGTGCTCTTACATAAAATAGTGCCACCTGTAAAAATTCCAGTTCTCTTCTGGTTTTTCACAGTAGATAATATTGTCATGTGATTGACTATAGATAGGGTCTGGATCTATAATAGGATTTAGTGAACTCTTTAAGACTTGCAACTTCACTAATTCACACACACTGCAATTCACCACAGCATGCACTAAGTCTTCTTTGTCTTCACCAGTATTCTGGTAACAACTTCCAACGCAGTAGATGCCTCAACTTCTGTGTTCAGTGGCTTCTGTCCTCGCTGGCTGGCGTCCATCTCACATCTTGACTCGGTGTTGCTATGCAACAGCTTGCAACAGTGGGGGCTCCTCCAACTCCCACACCTCTGCCAGGACTGCCTGTCCCTGAGCTCAATATCTACTTGACTCTCGACTGACTTTAGCTCATAGTCAAAGTCATAGTTACTTTATGACAGGTGGTTTGCTGGCAGTCAGTTTGTCTTGGCGTCAGGCCCCTTGAGACCCACAACCAGAGATTTTTTTCAGTTGAATTCTTGCAGTAATAGTCCTTATGTAACATCCTCTCTAACACAAAAATTGGCTTATCTCTTCTGAATGTGCTTGGCCTTTCATCAAGTGTAGATTTCACACATATAACATGTTATTGAAAATTATTCCTTTTGCACTACACACAAGTCCTCTGTCAGTACAGGCTTTACAGAGCACATCATGTCTAACTTACGTATCTTATGCTACAACGGCAGCTTAGTCACTTGAACGCAGACATTGCGTTTACTGTCCCATAACTTGGTAACGGACATCGCTCCTGATTAAACTATTCCAGCTTTCAGTGGACATGCCACAGTATGTTAATATTATTCCATTTATAATGTAATGTAACAGTTCACAGTTTGGTAGTTACTATAGGATTCTGACAATGGTGTATAACACACTGATATGTTGGGTTTTTGGACTTTATCCATCGTCCTGGTTTTTAAGATAACAAAATAAAAACATGACGTTTCGGAAACTGGATCTGTTTCCGTCCTCAGGTGAAGGAAAACACCTATTCAGTTGGGTCCGTTAGAAAGAGCTAGCCTCAATCACTGGAACCACTGGAATCACTGGTCCAGTGATTGAGGCTAGCTCTTTCTAACGGACCCAACTGAATAGGTGTTTTCCTTCACCTGAGGACGGAAACAGATCCAGTTTCCGAAACGTGTTTTTATTTTGTCATCTTAAAAACCAGGACGATGGATAAAGTCCAAAAACCCAACATATCAGTTCACAGTTTACCCATCGAGATAAAATTAATTACATAACAACAAAAACAATAAGTAGGAACAGCAGCATCTAGCAGGCAGGATGGTGGGCCATTTGTTGACCTGTTCCAGGCCCATTTGCCCAGCAATATCTTCAGAAGTCTTCCCCGGTTCCTTGATCCATGTAGTTTGTTATCTTTTTAATAGTTTCAGAAGTTCCACCCCCCTTCTGTCAATATGTTGAACCACACTGGTTTTAAATTTTTCAAAATTTTGTCCAATATAGGTTCTGTTCTTATTGTTTTGGTATGTCATTTCTTCTTTGGCCCAGTCAAGTGTTCTACATTGCTCATCTCAAATTTTATTTCAGCAGGCATAATTCAGATTTTTCTGTTTGCTTTCATTGTCCAGGATTCACTAGAACATAGAAGTGTCAGCAGAGGTAGTGTATGTTGCATTCCATGGGCATCAAGAGGTAAATCCAATAGAGCAGGTTTCATTCTTTGACATGACTGTGGAAACACAGCCAGCTTTCAAAGCATTTAACTAAAAACAAGATTATGGAAATTGTCCAACATGGTGATGGAAGCACATATAGTTTCTGAAATGAGTTTTTTAAACCAAAAACAAGATGACAGAAAATCTCCACTGTATGTGTCAGTGTAATAACACATCATCATCATCACCAAAGACATTTAGATGTACCAGTCTGATTAAATTACTGTAAAATCTGCCTTAAACAGACCCTTTATTAAATGGAATTTGTCTTAAGCGGAAATATTTTCAGGTCTCATGAATTTGGGGCTGAAAAAGGGCGTTAAATATCCTGGATTAAACGAAAATCAAAATAATCCTTTATACAGAAAATTTCCAGTCTTCCAGAATGCACTGTTTAGAAGAATTTTATGCATCCTGTATATTCTACAGAATTTTGTTTTCTCTAACGCTCTCAATTCACCTTTTAACGGTACAACTTTGTTTACACACACAATTAGAGAAACCTTCATATTGGCCACCTCTGTAAGTCAAGACATATTTTTACAAAATTGGCAAAACTGTACTAATTTATATATGGCTATCTTTTATCGTGTATCTGTCTTCCTCCTTGCATTTCATGCTATGGTTCTGTGCATACTGTGGCATGCCACCTAAAAGCCAAAATACTGAATTAGAGTGGACATCCATTGTTAGGCAACAGCTCCGCATCGTCTGGGTAACAAACATGTTCACGTAACAACACGTGTATAACACACGAAACGGAATCTTGCACAAGGGGTGTCTTCTAGGCGTCCAAACTGACAGATATAACAGACCAAACAGAACAGAGGCAAATGGAGCAGAGCTGGGAGCAGATGAAACCAGCTAAGATAAGAACAAGAAGATGACGACTAGTCAGGTGACATCGTCTGGAAGACGTTTATCTTCAAGTGACTGTAATTGTAACTGTAAACAACTTATTCAATAAACAGCTTCACCTAATCCGGAACCCATTAATTTCTTGTCACGTTACCAGGATATGTGACATTACTTTAACCTGTACACATTGGCTGCACATACGAATTAATAATTTTTATACCGGTCTACAAATGGAAATCTTTCCACCAATCTGTCCCTGAATGTATCTGCCAAATGCCATTTCTTTGTGATCTGCACATAAAAACACCTGATGCAGTAATGCACAACGGTAAATTTTTATGACCACAATCAATAAAAACAACACCCACTAACTGGAAAATGCTGCAAAAAAAAAAAAACTGCAGCGCCTTTTTCAACTGGTGGCACTATGGTGATTAAGGAGCAGGTTCAAAAATCTACCACAAACTGGTAAAGGGATACATACTAAAACAGAACTGTAAAAATGCAGTCTCCAAGTGTTTGGTATGTAGCAACTAAATATAAACGTAAAGTTGTACCTGTGCTTAAGGAAGACATAATTGAAATGATGGATGTTCAAATGAAACCTGTCCGTGGTACTGCTAGAAAAAACAGCCAGTTACAGCCGATCATGTGTCTGTGTACATGATGCAAGGACAGAACAAATGCACTAGAGAAAATATGAACAGTGTGACACAGTTAAATTCTGGCTTGCAACGTCCAGTATCTGTCTAAACAAGACCACAAAATTGGCAGTCAATTCCTTCACAGACCCTGACATTACCATAAATGCACAGCAGTACTGTGGAACCTAAGCCTTCATTAAGGGAAAGCATCTTAGCATGCTCATGAGGAAAGTCACTGTGTTACAAGACAACTCATCCCAATGTGCCCTGCACTGTCCAAGCATTTCATTTGCTGGAAGGAGTTGGACCACTCCCCATACAGCCTGCACCTGTCCCATGTGACTTCCATGCATTCAGTCCTCTTAAGAGCACTAGAGGGATGTAGATCCAGGTCAGACAGGGATGCCAAGACCATGGCGGTGCAGTGGTTCCAGAAGCACTCCAGGGGGACCCAGCAGCTGGTGCACTGCTGGGATACCTGCCTCATCACAAACAAACCCTATTTTGAATGGCCTCCACTTCTCTGTTCAGAATAATCCCTGAACAGGTTTCATCTCATCAAGCATTACAAATTAGTTGTTTGAAGGAATACAGTGAGACAGGACCATTTAAAATATCATGAAATTAATATGCAAAACATGAATAGTCTTAAGCAAGTACAGTTATAAGATTCCAAATTTATTTCCTGTTGAAACACATTTCAGATGTTTATGTCCATTTTCTTACTATGGTAAGAAAATAACTTAAGAATATACCAGATACAAACATATTATTTAAAACACTGATTCACTCACACACCAGAGAATGCTGAATGAGTCAGAAGAGTATTGCAGCTGAGTCCGACACACTCGACAACGTGGCACACAGTCATGTGACAAATGTCAAGCAGATCCTTTCTGAGGAGACTTGAGATTTCATTCATACAAAATTCATGTAACATACAACCTGAAAGAACAAGACAAAGCTTCTCATTTGAAGTTGTGTAGACAGTTCTCAGACCTTGTAGATAATAATGAAATGGGTTCTCGATGATCTAGTCATGTCAGATGAGGCCCACTTCCACTTGTCCCATTATGTAAACAAACAGAATTTCAGGGACTGGAGCAATAATAATCCTATTCAGATCCACAAGAACCTACTCCCCATAATGAAAATGTAACTGAGCATCACTTCTTTGAGTAAAACAACCAGGGTTTACTGGATGCATGCTCAACATTACGGTCCAGTACAAGGATGAGGGATCAATGGCTGGCTGCAGGACATCATTACTTGTCTGCATCTGGAGGCCAGCAGCATCATTGTTGTGCCGCTTGCCTTTGGGAGTTGTGGCTGCATGCTCCCTGAGACAAGAGGGTCACTCCTCCATTTCAAACTCAATACAAGAGAGATGAAGTTAATTAGTTTGGAAAATTTAAAGCACTCAATTGATTCTGGGCTCCTTTTTGAAAATATGTAGATGGTTTTGATTGTTTTGTTGTGTGTGGGGTTGATCATAATTTCATAAGGTACAAAGATACATATAAGATCACCACCTCTGCATGGTACAAGGCAGGCACTTGCAAGCTACCAACTAGGAGTGGCATTCTCTTAAATCGCCCCAGGTCTGCATCTAAGAGAAGGGTAGTTCAAAGTCTCCTAACACAAGATTTTACTGTTTTTTGTTTAATTTAATAATGCACGCAGGAACTTGGAGATTTACATCCAGTTTCAGTCGATGTGCTTCCTGCAAGGCTCATTAAATTATCATAATGCATGAGATAATCATTAATAAGGGGCACATTAAGCATCTATACTTGTCGTTTTGTCTTACTTTTAGTAAGTTGTTAAGTCTCTTCAACATGGGATCTCAAACCTATTCTAAAATCAAGGGGCTGTGAATTAATGGGGGAGCTCATCCAGTGCCAGCATGGGGCCCAGAATAAAGGAATTTTCGGTAATTGCTTGAGATTTTTACTGGGGGCAAAATATTCATAGATAACTACTATGTCAGCCTGCTAACAATTTCAATAATCTGCACCACAGGGAGATTTAACGAATGTCGTATAGTCCGTCACAACAGGAAGCAGATGCCACTTAATGTTAACATTTTCACCCATGACACAAAAGCAGGGAAGTGGAAGATCAACCTAGGAGAAACAGCCATTACATCAGTGCAGTAAATAAAATTTTAAGGATACCACACAGCTACAAACCGCAAGTGGGAAAAACAAACACAGTCAATCTCCAAAAAATGAAAAAATAATTAAAATTCTAAACTGTATAAAGAATACCTGGGGGAGGGGGCAGACCTGGAGATCCTACTACAGCTATAGAGAGGCCGCGCCATAGCTCAAGCGGTTAGTCGCTGGCTTCCCACTGTGGTGACCTGGGTTCGATCCCGGGGCCTGGTCAAGTGGGATTTGTGGTGGACAAAGTGGTGCTGGGGCAAGTTTTCTCTGAGTACTTCAATTTCTCCTACCAATCTTCATTCCACCAAATTCTCCATCATCATAATCACCCGGGGCAGGCTACGATAGGCCAATCAGTGCGCCGTGCTGAGTGGACCCAGCTGGACTTCACCCCCCCACTAAGTGAATAAAAAAAAATTAAAAGGCTATAGAGGGCTGTAAATCGATCGAGAATGCCTTCTTATTCCACAAACTAAACAAGAACCAAGCATAAAAAGTGGACAGATTACAATACAGGGCACTGAGAGGAGTACTGAGGTATGGAAGCAGTACACTTACAAATGTAATCTTGGCAGGGGGTAATGAGCTGTTGATGCACCTTAGATTTAGATATCTAGGTAGGAATTACCTCACAAAATGCTTCGCGACAAATAACCACCAATGCATTCAAATTCTGAGAGATCTAAACAAGATAATGGAGGGTCCTAGAAACAGTGTGGGGCAACCCACAGAGCGCTACAGAGATGTAGAATTTGTAGAACGTTTACCAGAGAAAGGGAATGTCCCTCTATGCTACAATTACTTGTATGAAGGAATGATGTACAATGCCGAGATGTCTATAGGAGGAGTGGATATAAAAAAACTCCCTGGATTGCAATGGAGAGTTTCTACATAGGTTTAAAGCTGCACTGAAAAATAGCATATGCCTCACAACAGACGGCTCCAAAAGAGAAGGAAGGTCATTCATCTGGTACACACTCCTAGACATAAAACAGGAACCACCTTAAACCACAGAACACTGAATATTGCATCCATTTTCACAACAGAGTGGTCAGTTATAGCTGAAACATTGCAAAGGATCCAGACCTATGAACCCAGCAGGTTTAGTCTTCTCAGACTCAAAAAACTAGATACGTGTTAGGAGGCACTCCAAGAAATAGAATACCTTGCATGGGATTTGAGGGATAAAATCAGAGAACTCGAACAGACAGGATGGAGAATTGAGTTCTTCTGGATTCTAGCTCAGTGTGGTATCCAGATAAACAAAAAAGCAGGCTCAGGAGGAGCCAAGGTTGCAATCAATAATGGGAAACACTCACAGTCTTTACTTCCATCATCGCACATCAAAGCACTGGAAAGGATGTTTACAGGTGTTCCATGCATTGTCTGGAAACTGGTATGGAAAAGTGCATCAGTTACTTCAACAAGTACTTCAATAGAAGTGCTAAGGCAGAATAAACTGTTGAGTGACCTTTTGGATTCATTGCCTGACAAGCTTGGTGCTGTATGTGTATTATTACATTTATATATTTAATAAAAACAAGAAACTGTTTGCAATTCTTGCACTGTGGCTTCAAACAATTTAAATGAAATATGGTGGTGGTTCTAATTAAAAGGAGAGCAATGACTTTGCAGGAATACTTAGTATTATAAGGAAAGTGGAAGCAAATCCAAAAAGAACGTGTTCAGATAGCTACAGAATTCAGTGTGCCTGTTACCACACTGAATAGCGGCCTCCGTAGTCTAGGGGTAACGTTACCACCTCATGACTCAAGGTACGCGGGTTCAAACCCAGCAGAGGTCGTGGAATTTTTAAGGGTGGAAAAATTCAGGGAACAAGTCCTCCAGGAGGGACTTTAAGCCATGGGTCCCGTGTCATAGCTTTACGGCACGTAAAAGAACCTCATGTCTCAAGGGGACCTCTGAGCCAAATTCAGGACATTTCCCACCCAACAGTAGTCTCTAACGCCTCTGGTAGATGGGGGAAGCATCGAGACACCGCTGAGCCAGTAGAGGCCGAACTCGCTGGCTGAGTCGGGACTGATGGCATGCACCAGTACCGGTAGGATATAGAGACTGGTAGAATATCACAGGGGGACGCACAATGGACCAATATCTGGTCTAAGTGCATGGGGAAACCCATCCTCTCCAATAACAACAGCAGCAGCAACAACAACAACCACAACCACACTGAATGGTATTACAGCAAATAGAAGATCTCTGATGTCCACAGACAGCGGTTCTGCCCATTAAAAGAATATGGGACACCTGTCCAATGTTTGTGTTGAGATTTTACTTCCCAACATATTGGTGCCATGATAATGTACACTCGTGTTTACAGAACTGAAGTACTATGAAACGCTTGGGATCAAAATATGAAAGTGGAAATTAACTTAATTTTACATTTCCCTTATAAGAAGTTTTTCTTTTCTTGCGGGTCCTCCAAAAAACTTGTTCATCAGGGAAATACTGTACAATACCACCAAGTTATCTTTCCAGAATATCATTCTGAGGCAAACTCATGAAATATCGAACACTATGAAAGCATTTCACAGACCTTATTGTCACCAGAAGACACTATTAGAAACAATATTAGTATAGCATACTGTATTTATATTTTATTTATTTTTTATGCTTTATAATACATTCATCCCATTTTTCAGGGAATATTTACTGTAAATTTTTATCACTCTCTTTGCCACTTTTCCATCATAATTCTATTTAAAAAAAATCGGGGTGCATGTCACACGTCATAAACACAGTGTGGTACATTCAATTTACCTAATCCTTCCAGCCGCACTATGGCCCTGGGGTCGATTCAGCCTCTAAGAGAAATGAGTACCAGGAATATTCTTGGGGGTAAAGGGTGGCTGGTGCATAGGGCTGACAACCTTGCTGCCATCTATGGGCCAATTGTCTAGAAAATGTGGGAATCTCAACATCTCACAACCCTATGGGCCTCCACGGCCTGTTACAGGGATACCTTTGCATAAGGAAGCCAGTATAACTTGTATTCGGCATGATACCACTGGCTACATGTTCAGCTTAATACATATTCATCCTTTCTCACCCACAAACAACAAATGGAACAAGAACAAAATTCTGCTTGTATATACATGTTTAATAAACAAGTCGGAGGCCAAAATAACATACATGTTTACAAATTTAAGAAATTCTATACAAAGTTGACTACTAACATGTCAGCAAATGAAAATGCTGTCAGACATATTAACAACCCAGATGCTTCACACATATTCCTATTTAATTTGCAAGCATTTAAATAGTTGCTAAAAAAGGATATCACCAAAAATATCATCTTTATAAGCAATTAACCCACCTTGAAGAACACATCACACAACAGGATGAGGCTCGGAACAATGGTTCCAAATTAAATGTGATTCCTTCACAGTGCTGGGCCAGCATCATCATCTTCATCATCCAAATCTCCCAGAAAGTCACCAGTCCGATCCTGAATCCGATGTGAATTCTCCAGTGTTGAGGCAATAACACGAAGGTTGCCAACACCATTCAAAAGTTGTCTGTGCACAGAGAGAAAGAATTTCATGAATACAGCACGTATGAAATTTGGACAAACTGAAACCTTGTTTCATTAATCAAACATATGAAAGGCAGAATAGTGGAAAAAGAAGAGGCGACCATTGCTAGGCAAGAGTGCAGTAAACATGTTTCTGCAGCAAAAAGTCAACTCTCAACAATAGAGGAATACTGTAGAAGCACTATTTTCTGTGTGGTCCGTGCCAAGGCTACATAGCGAGGACCACTGGAAAAAGTAAGTCAGAGCTCGGTGTTGGCAGGTAGGAGTCTTGAGTTGTGCTGTTCGCAGCAGCTATCTAGCAACAACTAGTGACAACCAAATAAGAAAGAAATACTTTATGTGAGCTGCAGCTGTAGTGATTTTGAGAGTGTAAACCAGTGAGACTGTTATAGTTATTTTTAGTTACAAGTTATATGCATTCAGTAAATCCAATTATCAACCCAAACCCTGTGTCTGGTCACTTAACATATGACAATATTAAAAATCTTCTTACACATAAAATGCAAAATAGCAAAAAATTTAGCCAAAATAATTTGACACATTATTATTTATTGTGATATTCAGATAACATATATACATGTGTCACTGATGTGGCTGGCTATTTGCTAGCCTGTAAGCTTGCACTTATGACCCAGGAGGAGGGCTGGAGCATGGTGTCTACTGTTATAGCATCTTAGATCATACAGTCAAAACAGATAAGGCTCTTTCAGGCTAATAATGATAAGCTGCAAGCTGTGCAACAGATGACAAGAAGACTAGCTCGAAAGTGTAAACGCATGCAGTCCACTGTTCTCATCAAACAATGTGGAACATATATCAGCTTGAAGAGAGTCGTCTTCTGGGTTTAGGCACCGTGTATTCTTCGTGTTGGCCGACGTTTCGGAGGAACGTAGCGCCTCCATCTTCAGAGCTCTGAAGACGACTCTCTTCATTGTCATCGCCGTGAAAACCTCAAAACTTACATATATCAGCTTGTTCCCAAGTCTGAAGATGGACCTATTTCTCTTTGCATGAAGAACTTCACACTACCACAATCACAGCACTTTGCAACGTAAGTGCAGTTCTGAGGTGCTCACAGCTGTGACTATGATGATTACTGTCCTCTAGGACATGACGTCATGTAGTCTGGTAAACTGTCACCGATGATTTGGAAGAAGCACCTGCCTAAAATCTTCAAGGCAGAAAAGTAAGAGTCTACACGGACATTAAACATAATTTGTGCACTGATATCTAATATGGGGTGATTAGAAATGCGCAGAAAATTTCAGTTAGAAAACCTGACGGGAAGAGACCACTTGGAAAAGCTAAGTGTAGATGGAATGATAAATTAGAGTGGATCTTAAAGAACAGATTATGGGGACCTGGAAAGGATTCACAGGACTCAGGACACAGCAAACCAGAATGTCTCTGTCAGAAGTGTAATAATTCTTTTGGTTCTCTAGAAGCCATACAATTTCTCTGCAAGCTCAGTAACTATCAGCTTCTCAAAAAGGACTTCGTTCCATGCAGCTCAGCTTGCCACCTGCTTCTGCAGGTTTCATTCTTGGCTTACTTTTTGACCTTGAAGATGGAGGCGATATGCTCCTTTGCTATCTCCAAAACTACACTGCATTACAACCTGTAAATCAAACGGTGGTCAAGACGTAACGCTCCACACTTGTACTCGGTAGGTGCTTAGTTTGTATCTCAGTCAGGACCCCAGTCATCCTGCCTGCAGTTTCTCTTGCTTTTTCCAGTCTCTCCATGGAAACGCTGGGATATTACCTCAATTATACCACCATCACTTCCCTTCTAATTCATCACTTACCAGTCATCCAATCACCTGACACTATATTGTCTTCGAGTGAAGGAACATTAAATAATCCACAGAAAATAACCCAGAAAACTATAAACTATGACACATGAAACTTAAATTAAGCATTTCTTAGTTACTTCACGCATTTTGGCTAAAAATTTTCCCTTAAATTCTAAACATTTTTATACGTCAGAGAAACAGCCAGTATTACCTGCATAGCATCTTCTTCTATCAATCATTGTAAAAGAAACTTAACTCAGTTCTTGCTGAAAAATGGCATGAAGTCTTTGGAACGGGATAAACACAACACAGAAGACGTAGATATTACCAGACTATAAAACATATTGTGAACTGCATACCCATTCCTAGGCAATGACTCAGTGAACATGTGCCCATGGTAAAGACATCTCAACAACAGAGAGGCTGTTTTTTATGTGGTCCGCTATGCAATGGTGTGGTACACATGGCTAAAATGATATGGGACAACAGAAGACTGTGTTTTCCGTGGGGTCCATGCAAAGTGGTTATAAAGAAGAGCTCAACAGAGCAGCACAGAGTGAAGAGTAGAGTTTCAAGACACCAGCCTTCCCAGATATGAGCTTGGGAGCAGAGGAATGGAACTGAATTGAGCTGACAATAATGGCAAGAAATGAATTAGGTTGTGCACAAAAGACTTACATGTGATTTGATGTTACAGTGAGACTGTGATATATCCATTGCCAGAATATGAGTGAAGATTGAGAATCCTAGTGTGTGCATGTGTGTGTGTGTGATGGTGAACTTTAATGTGTGTAAATCAGTGACAGCACTGTATTGCTTGTAGTCCTGAGTTTTGAATGCACAAGGTGCAATAAATTCTATCATTCAGTCCAAAAGCTGTCTTCTAAGTCACGCACAAACCCTTACACATGACAATNCGGTGCCAAATCCCAGAAGACTGCTTTCTTCAATATAAACTATGTCCACACAACAGGTCTTTTCCTGAAAAACCAATAATAAATAATAGCCAAGACATACCCCACCTTTTACAAGCCAAATTAATCCAGTCCACATCCACAGACCCTGTAAGATCAATATTATCATTATCCTCTGCCCTACATGTAGGTCTTTCAAGTGGTTTGTTCTTTACAGATTTTTCAACCAGAGTTTTGTATGCTTTTCATCTCTTCACTGTTTGTTACATGCCCCTCCATCTCATCCTCCTTGATCTAATCATTCTAATTATGCGTCACAGTGTACTAATTATGATGTTAGTAGCTTTTGCACATTTGGTCTTAATATATTTGCATGTAACATTACCTCAGCGACTGTTCTGCTGTGCTAGCTGCCACCCTCAGTTCGTGCGCAAGTTGCTGCATCTGCAACTCACTCTCTGGTTCAACTGAAGCACCGGCACCTGATCGACCACACTGCAATTCTCGATTCTCCTGACGTAGAACCGTCAATTCGTTCTAAAATAAAATAACATGTAGGTGATCTGCTTGCAGATTCCCACAACATTTTGAAAAGGTGGAAGAACTACTTCTCTCAGTCACTGAATGTACATAGGGTCAGTGATGTTAGGCAGATAGAAATACATACAGCTGAGCCGCTAGTACCTGATCCTAGCCCTTTTCAGGTTGAAAGTGCTACTGCAAAGTTGAGAATGTATAAATCGCCAGGTAGTGATCAAATTCAGAAAGAGAAGGAGGCGAAATATTACATTCTAAGATACAAAATCTAATTAATATTTTGAATAAGGAAAAATTGCCTGATGAGTGGAAGGAGTCTATTATTGTACCACTTTACAAGAAGGGTGATAAAACTGACTGTAGTAATTATCAGGGGGTATCACTGCTATCAACTTCACACAAAATTTTATCCAATATTCTTCTCTCAAGTTTAAGTCCATACATAGATGAAATTATTTGGGATCATCTGTGTGGGTTTTGATATAACATATCAACTAGTGATCAGGTCTTTTGCATTCATCAGATACTGAAGAAAAAATGGGAGTACAATGAGACAGTACATCAGCTATTCGTAGAGTTGAGAAAGCCTATGATTCTGATAGGAGGTATTTTACAATATTCTCAAAGAGTATAGGGTGCCAAGGAAACTATTTAGGCTGATGTGTTTAAACGTAATCTATGGTAAAGTCCATATAAGTAAATATTTGTCTGATAATTTTTGTACCCAGAATGGTCTAAAACAAGGACATGCTTTATCGCCACTCCCTTTCAACTTTGTTTTAGAATATGCCATTACGAAGGTCCAGGAAAACCAGGTGGGGCTGAAATTAAATGGGACACATCAACTGTTCATCTATGCTGATGATGTGACTCTACTGGGTGATAATATAGAAATCATAAAGAAAAGCACACAAACTTTAATTTATGCAAGTAGAGATGTTGATCTAGAAGTAAACACAGAGAAAACTAAGTATATGTTGCTGTCTCATCACCAAAATGCAGGGCAAAATAATGACATAAAGATAGGTAACAGATGTTTTGAAAACAGGGCATAGTTCAGATATTTGGGAATGACGATAACAAATTAGATCCTGATTCAGGAGAAAATTAAGAGGAGACTGAACTCAGGCAATGCTTGCTACTGTTCAGTCCAGAGCCTTTTTTGTCTTCTTGTCTGCTGTCCAAAAACATAGAAATTAGAATATACAAAAATATAATTTTGCCTGTGGTTCTATATGGGTGTGAAACTTGGTCTCTAACATTAAGAGAGAAACACAGACTGAGGATGTTTCAGAACAGGGTGCTGAGGAGAATATTTGGACCGAAGAGAGATGAAGTAACAGGAGGTCTGAGAAAACTGCATAATGAGGAGCTTCATAACTTGTACTCTTCTCCAAGTATAATTAGAATGATCAAGTCAAGGAGGATGAGATGGGCAGTGCATGTAGCACGAATGGGGGTGAAGAGGAATGCATACAGAATATTGATGGAAAGATAACACTGGGAAGACCAAGGCATAGGTGGATGGACAATATTAAAATGGATCTTAGATAGGATGGGATGGTGTGGATTGGATTGATGTGGTTCAGGATAGGAACCAGTGGAGGGATCTTGTGAACACGGTGATAACTTCTGGGTTCCATAAAATGCTGGGAAGTTCTTGAGTAGCTGCACAATTGGCAGCTCTCAAGAAGGGCTCAGCTCTGTGAGCAGGTGCAGTTAGTTATTTCATCTGTTATATATGTGAAGTTATAGTAGCTTTACAGTCAGTCAAAAAATTTGCTTCAGTTTAATATACATACTGAAACACTCAATGCAGACAAGTTTTGCTGATAATTTGTACCATATGCTTTGGAGAACGTGTCACCACCAGCAATTCCTGAATCACTGACAAGAGGCATACAAGCCAGACAAATAAGTGCTACAGTAGAAATCTTAATGGAGGCACCATCACACCTGCAAAATTGCACAGTATGGTGTGTTGTTTCAGACATAGGTAATGTTGGTTCACTTCTATCAGTAAAGTGTCACTAGCTGTAGGAACATTCAATCAGGACTGCACTGTACTTCACTTTTGAACCACTGATGGATTCAAGCCCACTTACCGACACAATCTTCAGTTCCTGCTTCAACTTGGAAACAGAATGTTCTGCATTTACAGCTCTTCTCTGTAAGACAAGCAAACAAAATGGAATAATTGAAGAGTTCTATTTTTTGAGAAATATGGCCATGTATAGTTAGTGCCTCGCATCTTTAGCCGCACGGAAAGGTAAACGCTGTTGTGGAGCACGCGTAGCTGTACACTTGCCATGGTGATGTTTAGAGCTACTCCCCGAGTGGAAAACATTAGCTATTACTTCCCTGGCATCACTATGAATTGTTCCGTGCGATTGTCGTGTGCCACGATAGTGACATGAACGCCACGTAATACAATCCCTATGACTGGTACCAACTAACAAGCAACACAACGTACTATACACCTGATCACAATCCGAGACGCTACATTCCAAACTGCTAGTACCCACGCTGACATAAGCTGATGAGACTGCTCCCCTAGCCCCACGAGAGATGGTATGATCCCTCTACCACAGCTAGAGTTCCGAGGAACTAACAGTGGTCTGTTGAAAGTCCACTGATGTTTCAGAGACACATGTCACTACCACCTTCAGGGTTGAAGAATAATAAGCCAAACAAGAAAGCAGCATGAAGCAGGTAGCAAGCAGAAACACTGGTTGACTTCCAACAGACTGCATGATGTTATATCCTAGAAAACAGAACTTTTCACAACAACCACTGCAATAATGTAAAATCCTACAAAATGAAATAAATATTAATAACACAATCTGATAGCAGCATATTCTAAAAACATACTGAATATTTAGAGTGCAAGTGCCTTCCTTGAAAAGCTGGTAGGTACTTGCCTGATCAAGAAATTCTCTGCTTTTGCAGAATCTGAAGGTTCACTACTGTACTCACTAGAGCCTGCAACTGTAATAATGTCAACAATAACTACAACACATATATGCGTTTTGGGATTTTTATGAGTGTTAACAAACATGCTGTCAACATGAAGCACTATTTTCTGGGATGTTATGCCATGTTACTGAGCTGTGACCTGCGCACCCCCTCTTGTTGTCACCATGTGTCACAAGTAATTTCTGTACTTTCACCAGGGCGTCCCCATTACCTATGTCATCACATCACAGACTTCTTGATTCCTTCGCATGTTTTAAAAATAACTGCTGCAACATTAGAGCTTTCTCTCTCACTGGAGATTTCGTCCTGAGCAGACATGTGCTCAGGTCTGTCTCAAAATTATGTTTCACTGTAGCATGTGCCTCTGGTTAAATTATGTTTCATGAGGTCTGAAACTCCAATGGCAAGAGCCCTTTCTTGTGTGTGTGGAATTCCTGTAGGTATACAGGGACTATATGCTGACTGTGCTCACTATATTCAGTGAGCCTGTCATGGTGTTTTCATATGTTTAGCCTTTATGGTTGTTGAGTACGCTGTGGCTGAGTCATGCCTGTGTGATTTTTCTGTAACTGGTTTTGCAATAGGCACACCTGTTAACTCAGCACCATTTAGTATTCCGTGCTGTATAATGCTGTGCGGATACCTATGCATGACTGGATTTTGTTGAAATAGCCGTGTTAATGACACATCATTCTATTTGTGACTTCTATCATGTACCTCATGTAATTCTGTGTAACTGATATTTGATACACTTCTCATATTTCTGTTTCTGCATTATTTTCTTAATATTTCACATTCTTCTGCTAGTAACTGGTTGTATTTTCTTACGTACATGTTATATTACGAAGGCAAATTGAAAAGTCTCTACCCCTATTTTTTTCAGCCAAAATATTAGTGTGACTGAGTAACCAGGTTATACATCTGATGCAACAGGGTATGCATGGACCGGCCCAGCATTAAGCCGACATATGGGGACAAATGTCTCACTTTGAGAAGTGTGTGGTGGTGGTGGTGTTATGAGTTCACTAATGACCAGGACGACCTTAATGATAATGAACGGTCGGGGCGTCTTCGCACCTCGCTCACACCGGACAACATTGCCCATGTGGATGCAATGGTGAAAGCGGATCGGCGTGTGCACCTGAAGTTCATTTCCAAGGAGCTTGGCATTCTGTATGGCAGTGTTTACGATATCGTTCACGATTCCTTGGAGTATCGCAAGGTTTCATGTCGGTGGGTGCCTAAGCTGTAGGATGATCTGAACAAGGCCAAGAGAATGATTATGTCACTGGAACATTTGCAGTGTTACTCCAAGGAGGGTGAAATGTTCCTGGATCTCACTGTCACTGGAGATGAAATGTGGGTATTGCATTTCACTCCAGGATCCAAGCAACAGAGCATGGTGTGGAAACATCCTGGTTTGCCTGTCACGAAGAAATTCCGCAGAACGCCATCTGTCGGGAAGTTGATGGTCACGGTCTTCGGGAATCTCCGAGGACCTCTCCTGCTGGATTTCATGCCACGAGGTGCCACCATCAACGCGGACAGCTATTGTGGAGATGGGACAAATGCCTGAACCGGGGTGGTGACTATGTGGAAAAATTGTCAAAGGTACCTAGAACACTGCCTGTGTTTTGATTTCCCTGTTATGTGTATTATTGTGGCTGAAAAAAAAAACAGGGGCGAAGATTTTTCGATTTGCCCTTGTACATCTGTGTTAACTTGACTCACGCCTGCTAAATTCACATAACTGTTACCTTACCCTATCCTACCTCTGTCTTCACCTGTCCGTCCTGTAACCCTCACTTATTCTCATCCTGTTATGCCTGTCAGTGCCAGAGCTGAGTATCTGTGCTTTTATTATCATGCCTGTTGGTCTCGCTGTCCCTGCCCATCTCAGGAAGTTTGTGTGCGCACTATGGCAATGAGAAGATGACATCCTGAGCCCTCCTACGCTCTGCCTATCATGGATGGCAGAAGTTCACCAATGTTTCAGAGGAATATACTGTGTTTGTGCATGACGTATAGACATGTTTTGGATTGGATGATTGAATTTACTGACACCTTATTCACACAACTTTGGACTACAGGCAATACAGTGCTACTGCTGATCTGCACACTTTACACTTCACTGTCACACACATACTATGTTTCCCATTCTTCACTAGTCACATCCTGACAATGGATTCCTTTCTTGCCATTATTCTGCAACTGCCCAACCAATTTCAAGCTTATATCTTGGCAGGTTCAACTCTTCACTGAACAGCCTCAACTGAACTTTTCTTTATAACTGCTTTCCATGGACCACAGAAAATACAGCCTCTCCATTGTTGGGAAGGCGTGTTTACAGTGTCATTGCAGAGCAATGGAAGTTACTAAACTGTTGCTTGCATATTCATTGCCACAGGAATGTGTTTACCAAGTCGTTGCCTAGCAATGAATGTCTATTCCAACTTCACTATTTCAGCTTTCAGGCATCATGTCACAACACCAATTCAGTTTTCAGGGTTGAAGAATAACTCAAGCAAGCAACAGGCAAAACGCTTGTTTGGCTTACCCTTTGACACAAAAGTTGAGGCAGTATGTGTCTCCAAAATGCTGGTAAACTTGGCATAAGATGCCAGAAGACAGCGCTCCTCAGACAGAATGATGTATTCTTCAAAAATATTCTCATGCTGACAAAAAGGATATCCTCTCCTAGCACTGATTCCATTATACATGGGTTAATGGATAAATATCTCAAAACTCTTCACTCTTCTAACTGACCTGCTTCTTAAGATTTCTTTTCAGCTCTTTCCTCTGTACTTCACATAGCACCTGACCGAACCATCTTGTTCTGCTTGTCCTTGCTCTATTGTTCTTTTTACAAGACCAAGCAACTGAAATTTTCTCTCTTCTAATCTCTTAAGAAATCTGAATTCCAACCTCTGACTTAAAATTTCATTTCTAGTTCTATCCCTCAATACTGCTGAAAATTTCCATGTCCACTGGTTGGATTTTGCATCTGTATCTCTTTGTAGTGATGCATGATTCAGCATTACATACTTTTATCTGTTGTAAGTATACTTTACAGATTGCAGTGTTGTATTCTTATATGACCTCTCTGTTCTGCATCATTTCATATACTTTTTAACCATTTTGTATTCACCACTAATTTTCCCTTATGAACATACACACTCCCCACAGAAATAAATTCATCCACATGTTTCACCACTGTCATTAACTTTATTTGCACGTTTGTGTCTGGGCTCCCCTGAAATCCGCACACTCACTGTCTTGTCCACATTTATTTTCAATCCCTATTACTAGTTTTCTGGGCTGATGATGCGAATCTACTGGGTGATAATATACATAAGTAAAAGTAAGGCTTAATCCCTGTAACAGACCGTGAAGGCGCATAGGGTTGGGAGACGCTGAAGGTCCCAAATTATCTAGACAATTGGCTCAAAGATGGTGATAAGGTTGTCAGCCTTACACGCCGGCCGCGCTGTACTCCCCAGGAAAATTATTTAATTAATTCCTGGTACTCATTTCTGTTATAGGCTGAGGTGACCCCAGGGCAATAGTGCGGCTGGAAGGATTAGGTCAGTTGAAAAATCCAATGACCTCATCGGGACTTGAACGCGCGACCTTCCGGCTTGTAGCATAGTGCCTCAACCAACTAAGCTAATCATACATACCATAAAGAAAAACATAAGTAATTGACACTAGTAAAGAGGTTGGTCTAGAAGTAAACACAGAGAAAACTAAGTACAGTAGAACTTGGTTATAACGTCATCAAAGGGACCTAAAAATAGTGTCGTTATAAACGAATGTCGTTGTAACCGAAATGGGCACTTCCACAATAGCCTTATCTTAGTCAGGTAAAAATCTACCAAAAACCGAGTTAAAATGTTGCATTTTTTAGTGAAATACGTAGTTAAGTACAGACTAACGTAACATTAACGTGGAATTGCCCAAATGTGTAATATCAAAGACATATTACAGCGCTTTTCACTGACAATACACACCGCACTAATACTGTATATTAAAGGTAGGCCTACTCACCAAATTACAGTAGATTACATCAATTGTTGTGCCTTACTGTACCTAGATACGAGTACAGTAATCAGTTATCTTCATCTGTTTCCTGTTACTTGCCCAATACACACTTTCTAAATTACGTTCAATGTCCATATCAGAGAAATTCAGGAATGAAAATGACGTTACATACGAGGTTGATGCATTTGTGCATGTCGTACTAAGCAAGGTATAAAAACAGTTGCTTTATGAGGAATTAGTTCGTACCATTGAATATTTGACGCAATAGACAAGGTGTCGCAGAAACCGATGTTGCTATAACCAAGTTTTACTGTATATGTTGCTGTGTCATCACCAGAATANCTAGAAGTAAACACAGAGAAAACTAAGTATATGTTGCTGTGTCATCACCAGAATGCAGAGAAAAATCATGACATAAAGACAGCTAACAGATGTTCTGAAAATGTGGTACAGTTCAAATATGTACTTGCAAACTATAGTAATGAATCAAATTTTGATTCAGGAGAAAATTAAGATGAAACTGAATGTGGGTAATGCTTGCTACCACTCCATTCAGAACCTTTTGTCTTCTTATCTGCTGTCTAAAAACATATAAATTAGAATATACAAAACTATAATTTTGCCTGTGGTTCTGTATGGGTGTGAAACTTGGACTTTGACAGTGAAGGAGAAATACGGACTGAGGGGTGTTTGAGAACAGGGTGCCGAGGAGAATTAAGGTTAAACGAAGAAGATTCTTAAACTGGGGAACATTAAATGGGAGTTCCACTGTATATATCTTTTGCACCAAATACTTTGGTTTATTTTTTTTTATTATTATTATTCTCAGTGGTGTGAGACTGAGTCCACTGAGTACTGTGGCCACTATTGGCCTAATGTACCAGCCCCAGATAATAAATGGTCATTGTGGAGTAACTGGTGAAATAAAGATTGGCAGGGGCAACCAAAGTACTTGAAGAAAACCTGCCCCAGTATCACTCTGTCCACCACAAATCCCACATGACCTGAACCAGGCCTCCGCAGTGGGAAGACAAATGCTTCGGTTATTTTCTTTCAGTCCAAACATACTATCTATAGCAATTAGCCTTTTAATCAATAAATGATCAGAGTGCTCAACATGCTTCTGCCATTTATGGCCATTTCCAAGCATGCCCAAAAAATTATAAAAGGAAATTTACGTTACTTTTATGTAAATTATTTCAAACTTGTTAACAGATCTATGCTTAAAACAACACTGACATTCAAAACTGAAGTAATACATGATGATGAAGCGCAAACAGAGAGTCATCCACATCTTATTTGTGTAGTTCTTTCGTTGTGCCTTCATAATTGTATATTGAACCACACTCTTTGGTTGAGGTCTGCATGTTTTGCCATTGCTGGTCAAATCTACTGACCCCCGTCTGCTGATACCTGACATCTCTCTGATATAAACCGTGTCTGCTACCTCACAGTACTTACAGTAGTTCTTTTCAAGTTGTCTTCCACCAATTCGATTGCCTTTTCAAGTTTTGCCGTTTCCTTGTGTTCCTTCGCGCGAATGGTGAAAATGTCACGCTCCAAGTACTGGATTCTAGAATTGAACACAAATCAAACTTATCATGAAAATTACAGTCTTCTGGAATATGACATCGTGTAGCCTGGAAGAATGTTACCATGTTTAGGAGAAACCAGCTACCTCCATCTTGAGATGAAAATACTGGTAACGTTCTACAAGACCACATAGCATCACACCCCAGAAAGTACTGATCTTAGCCACCAACATTAGAACCTCAGATGTCGCTTAAACTTCATACACCACCTAAAAAGTTCATATCTTCTTTTACTTGTTTATTTAATGACACTTTAATAGCTAACTAGAACTGAAAGGAAGGAATGTCATATCGCTTAATTTGAGGTATAATCATGACATCTGCTTAGCATGACTGAACAAACATAAAAAAGCCTCTATCATTAAGGCTGGTCTTTGATTTGAGATCTGAATTGCAACTCACTGAATATGAAGTAGCAGTTCTTCCCACTCAACCACAAAGTGCAATCATCTGTTTGAAAGGCAACATAAAATATTGTGGCACATTTACGCCATGCAAAAATCGTTGAGAAACAGAAATCTGTAAACACAGCAATTACACGACAATAAGGAAAGTGGTGTTTTTTATGTGCCGTGCCAAGCCGAGCAGAGCCACGCCGCACTTGTCAGTTGGCAGCAATGCACTAGACACATCTCGGCAGCAGCTAATCAATGCCTCTGTAGACGTGACAATTACACAACAGTGAAGCAAGATGCATTTTCTGCTTGTCAATTTGAGGGTTTCTAGGAGAGACTAGAATTCCTGAGAAGTCAGTTCTTGCAGTTAGTTACAAGTAGCAGCGGAATCACGAGAAGAGATTGAACTAGAAGTGACAGTGAGTGTGTGTGTGACAGTTCAGTTCAGTTAAGAGTTATGTGAGAGACAGAAGTGGCAGAAGCATGTGAATGGAGTACAGAAGAATAAAGGAAGTCTGCGTGTGAAAATCTAAAGTGTGATAACAAGACTTTGTGTGTGCTACAGTGCAGTAGGATTGGGAGTGTGTAATTCAGTGATACTTGTATAGCTCCTGTGTTATATGAGGGTTCGAACTTTTAATAGTGGCAACACTGCTGTAGAGACGCCATGCAACGGAACCAAATAATGTGGCTTATATCACACGTTAGTTACATACCTACCTTACCTCAGAGCAAATGGACTCTCCCTTCCCACATCATGCGCATGCGCAGTGACGAGAAGAACAGAGCGTCGTGTTAGCTGGTGGTCTAATGTAGTGTTGTCATAATGTTTTCAAAACAGGAACAATGGAGTTGGATAAATATTTGAATGTGCCAGAGGCCGTACAGCATGACAGTGTCATCAAGGTCTTCAAGAGGCTTGCGAGGAATCTGTATTGCCTTACAGAACAGTGGCAAGGTGGAACCACCACGAAAATCAAAAGTCTGTCAGAACCCCAGCAATGTGAAAGTTATGGTTATGGTGATTCTCGTGTACGACTGTGATGGTGTTATACTGTTCCCCGACAGCAGACCATCAATGCGCAGTATTACTGTTCATTTTTGGAACAGAACCTGCGACCAGCTTTCAGAAAGAAATGGCAACACTTTCTGCAGAACCCACCCACCATTTTGCAGGACAATGCTTGGCCGCATGCAGCGCAAGCTGTAGCTGATTTGTTTGATAGATGGGGCTGAGTTCACTTTAGAACTGTTCCAGAGATTCTTCAGGAAGTAGACCGCTCCATTTGAATTATCAACACAACAGGCACTGCTAAAGGTATCCTACGACTTCCACATTGCTGGCAACGGGTTGTACACAATGCTGGTGACTACACTGAAGGACAGTAAAACTTTGAAACATGCATCTATTTTGTATCAGTTGTAAATAAATAGTTGCCACTATTAAAGTTCCAACCCTTGTAAATACGTGAAAACTACTGCAGACAGACTGAGAACATTAGCATGTAATGTGTAAATGGTGTAAACCCGCAATAGTGTAGTAATTAACTGTAGTTACGACCTGTAAGCTGTTAATAAATCCAATTATCAATTCAAACCCCATCTCCAGTCACCCAAACAAGTTACAATATTACAACTGATCATTCTAATTATACTTGGAGAAGAGTACAAGTTATAAAGCTCCTCATTATGCAGTTTTCTGCAACCTCCTGTCACTTAATCTCTCTTCGGTCCAAATATTCTCCTCAGCACCCTGTTCTCAAACACCCTCAGTCTATGTTCCACCCTTAATGTCAGAGACCCAGTTTCACACCCATACAGAACCACAGGCAAAATTATAGTTTTGAATATTCTAATTTTTATGTCTTCAGACAGCAGACGAGAAGACAAAAGGTTCTGGACTGAATTGTAGCAACCATTACCCGAGCAGAATATCCTCCTAATTTCCTCCTGAATTAGGTTTTTATTTGTTATCATCATTCCCACTACATAGTATAAAAATCAGAAGAAACAAATTATAGCACACACATGTAATTAAAACAGAATGATCTCAATCAAGAATTTGAATCACATTTTAAGAACTCTACTGCAATACTTGCACATCACCTTAACAGCTGTGACTACTCTACATATTCACAAGAGTACAGAGTAAACTTCATAAACTCTCTGGATGTATTCTGTGCGCGGTATGAAACAGGAAAGAGAAAAGTTACATTTTTGCATATATTATATTATTAATATAGGTGATATGAAGTGTAACATCAAAGCATGAATAAAATTTGTAGTTTTTTTTTCATGTAAAAGTTATAAACATAAAAAAAAATTTACCTTCTTGCTTGGTTTGCACGTTGCCGCCTTAATACTTCTAATTTTCTTCTCAAGGTCTCATTTTCCAACTGTAACTAAAGAAGCAGAGCAGATGCCTCTAAGTATTTTTGTCTTTATCTGACACAATGTTCAAGAACAATGAATTTCTTGTATAAATATCAAATGGAATTCAACATATCAAACCCAGTGCAGTAAGAACCAGTGTGAAGGTTAAACAAAACAAAAGTATGACATTCCAACATCCTTAACTTTCTTAAATATAATTTTTAGCCTACTTTCCTAAAATAATGTTATGTAATCTTCTATATTCAAACTTCAAAAAGCAGAATTACAGACAATATCAGGTCTTACCACTCTACAAGTATGAGTGTGGAATTTAACATATAGTTTGGAACTATTTCAGGAACACATCCAAGTAGTGCATAAATTCAACTGGACACCAGCTAAGTTCAAGGCAGTGTTGAAGACTTTTATGTAAATGGTATTCATACGTTAATACAGCTATGTATAACCTAGTCCGTCAATAATGCAACAAACTGTTCATTTATCTTCCACTTACACTTTTAACACAACATGTTTTAGCCACAGATGGCCATCTTCAGGTGTCTTAATATATTGAAACTGCTACACTGCATTAATATGTGCTAAAACTACACGCTGTAGTTCACTTAATAAAATAAAATAAAATACATCAAATAGTTACTATAGGATTCTGACGATGGTGTATAACACACTGATATGTTGGGATTTTGGACTTTATCCATCGTCCTGGTTTTTAAGATAACAAATAAAATCACGACGTTTCGGAAACTGGATCTGTTTCCGTCCTCAGGTGAAGGAAAACACCTATTCAGTTGGGTCCCTTAGAAAGAGCTAGCCTCAATCACTGGACCAGTGATTGAGGCTAGCTCTTTCTAAGGGACCCAACTGAATAGCTCAATCACTGGACCAGTGATTGAGGCTAGCTCTTTCTAAGGGACCCAACTGAATAGGTGTTTTCCTTCACCTGAGGACGGAAACAGATCCAGTTTCCGAAACGTCGTGATTTTATTTGTTATCTTAAAAACCAGGACGATGGATAAAGTCCAAAATCCCAACATATCAAAATACATCAAAATTTGTCATTACTTCTGTGAAATTCTATTTCACCTTACAAAGGGTGTCGTCCACTTGTTTAGAACTATATGTTTATTTCCAGGTGTTTTATTGCAGCAGCTTGTTTTTACGTTTGTTAGCCTGTCATTTTGCTAGTCTGCAATCTGTAATCTACAAAATGCCACATGTTAATACTGTTTTCTGATTGTTGTTACTGATGTTATGTTATGTTTATTTACTTTAAACTCACATGCCCCTTGCTTGTGCATTGTTCCTCTAGCAGCGTGTGGTGTTGTCTTCGCTAGTGCAGATGTGGTGTGTTTGCTTCCGTATTTATATGCCACGAATGTGAAGAGTGGGGAGGGAAGGGGGAGGGGATAGTGTTATTTTGTGTAATTTTTGTATAATTCTTCAAATATAGGATTGTGTGTATCAATATTAGTGTCATTCTTATGTAGATTTTCCTTACTGGTTTTGTAACTATGATACTTCTCAAGTGTATTCAGATATTTTCCTTTCCTCCCTGTTGTTATAATTTCCATGGTATCTGTTATTGTGCCATGTGTGTGTCCGGTGTTCAATATATGACTTGAATATCCAGAGTTACTATTGTTACCTTTTATGTCATGAAGATGTTCTTTGTATCTGGTCTTGAATGTTCTTCCTGTTTGTCCAAAGTGCTTTAGCGGACAATCCAGGCATTTCATTTGATAAATTCCACTTCTACTATATTTATCTATTTGCGGCTGTGGCCTTAATATGTTCTGTATTGTGTTCCGTGTACAGAAGGCCACTTTTATTTCCGTGTCTTGAAAAAGCTTTGTGATTGCTTTCAGTACCTTGCCGCTGTATGTGAAGGTAACCCACTGGGTTTTTTGTTGCTGTGAGTTGGTATGTGTATTTTGTTTGTTATTTCTGGGGGGGGGGGCAGTTTGTTAATTAAGTTTATGTCAGCTATTATTACATAGTATGTTTGTAATGGTGTTCACTGCTGTGTCCTTTGCTTTTTCTGTTATTGGATACGTATACAATCAATTTACAAAATAGTTAACGCTGGACAGCTTGTGTTCGTATGGGTGGCATGAATTATTTGGTAGGTTTTCGATATATTGCAAATTCAAAATTCTTGCCATTTCAAGGAGGTTAATAGATTCATGTTCTTCCTTCTCAATAGTGAAGTTTATGGTTGATTGTAATTTGTTGAATTCTTTAAGTGTGTAGTCAATATGTTTTTTTGATCGTATATTATCAATATGTTGACATATTTTAAATATGCAATTATTTGTTGCTTTATTAGGATGGGATATATTTGTGTATGCTCCATATGTTGTGTGTATGTTTGTTTGGCCCTAACCTCGTTTTCAGTTTCGTTAATTCTTTTTTTTTTTTACACAGTTGGTAGGACTCCTTGGACTGGCGAGCAGCCCGTCACAAGGCCAATACCTACACACAGGACAACAGAAACAGAATAAACGCACACAGACATCTATGCTTTGCGTGGGATTTGACCCACGATCCCAGTTTTCAAGCTGGCGAAGACTGTTCATGATTTAGACCACGCAGCCACTGTGATCGGTATTTTACACAATACAGACTAGATAATGACAATGTCATAAACAAAACATAAACTTTACAATTTCCCCACCATGATTCTCACATAAAAATTAGGAAGTGCCAAAAATGGGGCAATTATCATCACAGGAATGAAGCAGACTGTGGCAAACGGGTTCAAAACTCTTTTGCCTATTATCGAACAGGGGGTTCACCATATGTCCAATTCATGGTGCATCCCAGTAGGCTGCAAGAATGCCAGGTTTCAGCACCAACATGTACCCCATCGCTACCATTCCACTGATCTGGTAATAGGTTCCCATATGCAGATCACAGACAGAATGTGGTTTTCTGAGAAGCAAAGCGCCATGAAAACAGGTGGCACTTACAGGCACAACCTCTACTTTTATAAATGGTATATTGTACTCAGTGACATTGATGCCTTCAATTACATCCTGAGCATTATCGCCACGTTCTGCCCACCCAAAGTTGTTATGCAGCAGATTACTGATTCTTTTTTAAGTAACTGCCATTCAAAATCCATGGTAAACATAAAATACTCATATTAATACAGAAATCCTATTTGTTATACGTTGATTTCAGAGAGTGACATTCATGTTTACAAGAAATGCAAACACAATGGAATTGCTTAGACGAAACAGTGAAGTTCAGCAGTCTGTTACAAAAAGGGCGATTTGATATGTGCATATTTAGGTTATAACATCACCCCTATTCAAAAACAACTTACGAGCATTATATCACTACTTCAGAAAATAGCAGGATAGAGTCTATGCACTGCATTAATAAAGCAATTGTATGCACATCAAATGATGCTGACCACTTCAGTACAGAACATCTCAATAATCCTGATGGGCAAAGGACAATAAGTGTAGGACCCATTCTGTATTGCTCTCCCATGAAGATACACTTCCAACAGAGTTCCATGTCATAAAGTAGCTCACATTCCAAAACGGACACTAATTACGCTTCATGTATCCACACCAGAATATTATCATTGGACACAGTACACTGAAGCGACTTGTTAATGCTTGACAATTGTTGTTATGGCAACCCAAAGCTGCATAGTTTCAGAGCTATCACTCTCTTTTACAAAACGTTTCTACACATATACAGAGGAAATTATCATCTTTCTTTCCACAGTTTCCAGCATTTTTGGAACATAAAACACATACAGAAAGCTTCATAGTGAAATCTTTGTGGTACCCCAAATAACTTGAGCTGGAATAAAGCAGTCAGAGTGATTGGCTATTGACTGGATGACCAAAGGGCCAGAGTTTGAGTCTCAAGCGGGGGCAAGAACTTTCACTTCTCCATGTCACCAGACCGGCTCTTGGGCCCATCCAGCCTCCTATCCAACGGGTGCAGGAGGCTCCTTCCCCAGGGGTAAAGAGGCCGGGGCGTGAAGCTGACTACTCACCTCCAACTAGTGCCAAGGTCAAGAAAACATGGGTCTATACATCCACTCCCCCATACATCTTCATGGTGTAGTGCTTCATTAGTTAACCAGAGGGACACATTTATTTCACCTCAAATAATAGAAAAGAGAAGATGAGAGCCCTTCCATAACATAAATCTACTGACATACACCCCCTACTCACATTATGAAGATTGACTGTTTATTCCACAAGAAAAACATGCATCAGCCATAATCTTCCAGCAAGTCATAAAAACAAAATACATCAAGTCGGTTCTTACTCACCCTGTGTGAGTCTGGGGACTGTGATCCTGATATGGTGTCGCTCGTACCTGCACCCAAAGAGTCATCAATGGGTTGATCCACGTCATTATGATGACCACTATGAATAGGTCCATCAGAAAGAAAGTCAGGCAGACTCTTTGACACTCCCACTTCACCAATCTGCATACCACTCCTGACTCCAGATGAGGACGCACTCACAGCCCCATCTTTAGCATCACTAACAAGAGGGAGATCAAATGGCAAACCACCACCATGAGTTGTCAACTTTCCTATGCTTTCAGTGGGACTTCTGTCAGAACTTGGTAAATCTAGGGGTACAGGTCCTGAGCCATTCCCAACATTTTTTGGTAAGTTCTGATTTCCTGCGGTGCCTGCCAAATCAACTGGAATATCCACTGCAATTTGAGATGTGTTTGAGCTCTCAGAATGGTTCAGATAACACTGTTCTACTACAAGATGATCCTGAACAAAATCTGGAAGTGCCGACGTCAATTCAGGGGTTCCACCTTGGCGACGGCCACGCAATACACTCGTCCTAAGCCATCCAGGATCTGAATCAGATGACGCTGGTGATAAGTGTCCACAAGCGAGTACATCAGAATGCACTTTTCGTCTTGCACCAGTACTGCTGTAATTGTTTCCTGCATCACGCTTGAGAAAATGTTTAAATGAAAATGGATTTTCCTCTCTCTTTGGCATATCATTCCCTGGTAAAAAGAGAATTATAACTAAGAAAGTTATAATTATTACCATGCTCAAACAGTTCACCTTGTGACTCACGGACCATACGAATTCTCATGCTTACTTGGACTAAGTAAAAGATTCATATACAGAATACAAAACAGATTCCTTTTTATCCTGAAGACTGGGGCAGCATATTCTTCCAAAACTCGGGTATGTATTTACCAAACCACATGGTGCCACATTCCACAAGACACTATCTTCAGTTAAATGAGTCTTGCTTCTGAACTTTTCAAAATTAAACAAATTTTAACAATATACCAGTGCATAAAATTTATGTTTATGATACTGCATATTCTTAGCTACATTTATATAGACACACACATACATCTCAAAAGCATATGACTGACCATAAATTAATTTCTTAAACAGGGCATTTAATAAATTGCATCTGTGTATTTCTGTGGGGCTATTATCATTCCCACAGGACCGATAAGGACAGTTTTTAAACTGAAACAACTATCTGAAAATGTCCTAACGCCGGGGAGATAAAATAAAAACGCACGTTAAATGCTACTTCATTGCACCACGAACGACAAAACTTAAGAAACGGCATATAATACGTACTTTAAAGCTAACCAGAAGATGAAACTAACCTTCATAGCAGTGACAATTGTTTATACATATATGTTACACTATATGATTAAAACATTCACATACTTATACTTATTTAAGTATATGATGATAAATGACGACGCCGGGTTACTTTACACTCTTATACCAAATACTTTTGCCTACACACAAATAAAATTAACACCTTCAACAATGTCTATAAAATGTTTACCTGAGCCGTAATTCTCAACAATACCTTTTTTCTCGGCTGTCTGTGTATTGCCAAGACCTAGGTCTGGTTTTAAACTATTATCCTCTGTACCATTTTTTGGCATAAAACTGTAGTAAGAATACACTTTTCCTTCGTCACTACTACTTTCCTCCATACTCACAAACCGCAGTTGACGTCTCTATACGCTGTTTATTTTGGATTATCCGATAGATCTAGTTGATCTAATTTACACACATGGGTACGATACGTTTAGGTGGTTTAGGGATACTGCCATCACTGCCACAGTGGCCACAGTTACAACTTTAATATTGAGAGCCGAAGCATGAAATAGAGACACCTTCACTCCGAGTGAAGGAGTTACTTTAACCAAGTACAGAATAATCGTTCCAAATATTTTTGAAAGATGTCGCGCAGCGAACTAGGCCCTCGCTCACACTCTCTCATCTGAGCCCACCACAGCACAGAACTGAACATATGCCGTCTGCATAATCGTAAAGTTGTTAGTGACGATTTCACCGACAAGAAGTAGAAGAAGAAACGGCTCAAACAAAGAGCAGCAGGTTCCGATATGATATTCAGTGAGCATCCCAGCAACACGTAGGTACTGTTAAAAATATGGACACGACTGTTCAAGGACTGCACGAAGACTGAAGTCTTACATTCATTGATGCTCATTGATCAAAATCCTTTATACGGGCAAGGGAAATATAAAATCTCAGCAGACGCCTACAGAGGAAGAGCGCTCGAAAACAATGCCTTCAATGAAAGATTTGAGGTTCTCACAACAGTGGTTATGAAAGGTTCGCTTTTCTGGGATAAAACGCCGTGTAGTTTATTGAAGGTCAATCGCCATTTCAGAGGAACAAGTTGTCTCCATCTTCAGGGTGAAGAATAAGCAAGCTTGTTACCTGCTTCAAGCTTATTTCTTTCTTGACTTATTCTTCGACCCCGAAGATGGAGGCGACATGTTCCTCTGAAATGTCGCTTGACTTTTAGCAGACTACATGGCGTTATATCCCAGAAGATAAAACTCATGCATGGTGTCTTCCCTTGAGAAAAATTTGACTATCAGAGACTTAATAATGTTATTTCGCTTTCGAAATGAGAATTTATACAGTAAGGGGAAAGGACCGTCACAGTTCTCCCCAATTGAACATGAAGCATGTGCCAGATATACATATGGTTGAACAATTCAGTGTTCATTGTTCCCTTCTAGCCCGCCCCGCGAACAGCACAAATTAATGGATTTCGAATTCCTAAATGAGGAATTAAAACAAAACAAAATAATTACTGGCTCTTCAAGTTACAATTGCTTGAATTGTCAGTGATAATGCTATTTCCAATGCATGTGAAGTTGTGGTTGTTCAGAGCACTCACTACAGCTAGGATGCTTTACACCATTTCCAATTATTGTCTGTCGCCTTGAGCCACTCCGCTTAGTTGCCACATTAAACATTTTGGAGCTCTGTTTATTATAACTCTGATATAATATATATACAGCATCAGAGCACGAATCTTGATTATTACGCTCTGATGCTGTCAGCCGGTTATCTCCACACTCTGCATACAAAACGACAGGCATTCTTCAGTCACATGAAAGGTACCCGGCAAAAGCAATCGAAGTCCAATTTTTTAAAACAGAAGCGGAGAAATCGTCATTATCGTACTTCGAGTGATGAACTGAGTTTCTAAATATTCTAACTCCGCAGGAAAAATCGGCGTCCAAGAGGAAAGCTCCATCAAAAAGAAAAAGTTAGTCACGACATAGACGACTAGAATCTTCTGGTGTCCGGAAGACCAATCAAACTCCAAAAGGAAACGCATATGCTTAAGGCGAACGGTGAAAGAAATGGGGATTTTCTTGTGTGGTGTGTGACCAACCTTATCGTCATTCGTCAGCTTTTCACTGTGTCTGGTAATTCATACAAACTGCAACCTCAGTTCGTCTTTTTCATTATTACCTAAGAAACGACTGAACCCCGGGAAGCTTGAAGACGAATTCAGTATTCACGATCATTCATATTCGTGCAAGGAAGAAACAATTGTCGAAATACCAGTACAGCATATCCTCGATTTAATGGACTAACTGGTGGGAGGGGATGTCCGATAGTTTCGACTATCCAAATGTCCGTATTCCTCACAAATACGTGTGTAAGATACTTCCCATTGATTTTTTTTAACAAATTCTAACATTTGTTTTAAACTCATGTTTGTCCTTTTTTTCTTTCTTTCTTTGTCCCTGGTGTATTAATTAAAACATCTGTAACACAGAATAAACCAACCAGAGCACAACACATATTTAATTTGCGTGACGCTTATCTAGTACATATATCGTTCTATCGCAAATTAAATTTGTGTTGTGCTCTATTTGGTTTATTCTGTTACAGATATTTTTTTTTAAATTAATATATATACGTGTATATACCGGGGAATAACGAGGAAATACTGAAGAATTTTGTCCGTCAAACCCAAAATCTGTCAAATAGAGGCTTTGTTGTACGAAGCATTCTTAAGCATACTCGTACACAGAATAACTAACCAAATGACGTAACAACTCAGGAATCGCTTTAACTACAGGGCATGCTCCTACTGACATAAGAGGAAATCATTTCAATACGAAGAGCAAAAAATGTGATTACACGACAGGGAAATCTTCAAGGATGATATAATTATAATCTCCATAACATATCCTAAATATAGCTCCATGAAGAGCCAAATAAAATAAAATATCTAAGGTACAACGAAAATTATTCCGAACAACAAGGTTTATCGACAAATTTTCACACCCAAATTCAATATCTCATTTGGTTATTCAAGGTCAGGTACATGCTCAGCCTGTGAGGAATTCAAATCTAAAGAAGATTATATCGGGGCAAATAAATTGAACATTTCTTTAGGTATGACAGACGCAGAGAAGGAGTTGAGAAGGCTTGAAATCCTAAATGACTTACACAAGAGTAAAGCATTAACCCGCTACAGCAGGAAGTGCAATGCTAAACAGAGATCAAGGAAACCGATGTCGTGAAGCAATTTATATCGGCTTCGTCAAAGATATTAATATGCCGACTATATAGATGAATTGTGCATATTACAAACGTCAACTCTATCCTGCATGTTCAATGTGCGTATCCTGCTCACCAGTGGAGCTGTCTTTTCACTTATGACGAAGATATTGGCAAAAGAAAGGGCCAGACTACGTCACCTCTTATTGCACTACTCCGTTACTGAAAACTGGAGTTTGTCAATGCGTCATTTGGAATTATTTTGAAATTCTTTCCTTCACCAAAATAAAAATTACGCAATGATAACGATTTTTACGTCCTGTGGTCCACAAACATAATCGGATTGATTTCATGAAGGTAACATTCCCCATCAGGGGACACAGTTACATGGAATGTGACAAATACGTATTGTGACATGACGCCTGAAAGCCGGATTAGTCCATTGCTTGACAACAGCTAGCTAGCAAGCGTTTCCGCTGCAACGGAAACGCTGGTAAAAGTCAAATCATTGCTACGGAATTAAACACGGTTCCCGCAGCAAGGGATAAGCACGCAATATCGTGGATTGATGGCGATGGTGATCTCCTATTCAGTATTCCTGAAGTAATAAAAGGAGGACACGGGAAAACGCTGAGTCAGACGGTCGTAAGAAATTCAGTGTTCAGCTGTGGAGTGCTAACCAGCGAGCAACAGAAGCTAAAGAAGCGACTGATTCGTAAATCAGAACGGTCAGAACCATCAGAACCAAGTCAGTCACGGCAGAAGAGTAGGTACTCGTGTTACAGTAAGGAATGGAGCGAGTCTCAGTCATCGATTGCCAACTGTTATAATTGGTTGTAACTGTAAAAGAAGTGCCAGTAAATCCAATCATCGAATCCAGAAATCAATACTAATCACGTCAACCCCGGATACATGACAGTATATTGGATTCATAAACCAGAAGCTTCACGTTAAAACACAAAATGAGTGGAACAAACACATAACAAATTGTCATATCAAATCTTAGCCCTTCAGAGTGACAGAATGCTTACAAAACATTTCCAAATTATGGGGCTCTCTTCTGTCAAAACTCTATACAGACAAATTTCCGGATTAAAATTCAGAGTGCATGGGAACTCGCTATCTATAAAGACTCTTTGTACTTTTCTACTTTTCTGAGGCAAAATTTAATTCCTCGCCTTTTCGCATACTGTTAAGAATTGCCTTTTATTTTTGGAAAACTGAGAATTAAACATCCGTGAAACTATAATAGATAGAATGAGAAAGTTTTGTGTGTGTGTGTGAGCTTACCTAACTCGAAATTGTGTAAGTTTAATAGAAACTTTTTACCGACCGACCTCTTGACAGTGGCTGTATGACGCCTCTGCGTTTCCCACAAACAACATGAATGATGTGGTTGATTCGGATGAGTGGGGATTGGCGATTACGTGATATCTTTCGTGAGTAACTGGAATGATTGCGTACATACGAGCATTTCAAGTTAACTCCAAAACTCTGAATTTAGATTCGCTAGTGCATGTAGGATTTGATGTTCCAACTGCGGTGACTAAATAAAGTTCTGTCTTCTCGGTTATAGCGCCATATAGTCCACTGAAAGTTAACCGATGTTTCTGAGGAATCTGTTTCCTCCATCTTCATGGATGAAAAGTAAGCTACGCGAGATTCCAGCATGAAGCAAGCAGCAAGTAAAGCATGCCTGCTACAAGCTAATTTCTTGCTTGGCTTACTATTGGACCCTGAAGATGGAGAAGGCATATTTCTCTGAAATGTCGGTTGACTTTTAATAATGGACATTCACTGAAAATATAACCCTTCACTAGTGCGTGTTTAGCACTCCATGCGTCTCAAAATGATGCCCATCAACGGCGTTATGTTGCTGTCATACCCGAGTATAGTGTTACATAATGTTCCGTGACGGCACGTGCAATCTGGTTTGAAAATTCGGTTGAAGTGTGGTTCGCGCATATATTTAAATAGCGCTCATATCTTTAAAATGAGTCTATATGGAGTGAATGGAACTAATTTTAGTTCTTGGTGTATTCGGAAATGCCGTCCAGGTTAAGTAGAAAGAAACATAACGATTCCACTTTACGTGTGGCCCATGGGTACTACAGAAACCAATTGGTTCCCACGATCTCAAGAAGCAGGGAGGAAAGTTATTAGGGAGTTAGGGAGTATGTTGGCCGCATGGATGCGTTGTTAAGTGTACTCCTCCGGCTCCTCCGTACTCCTAAAGTATGTGGAGCAATGTTGCATGAAGAATAATGACATAGCACTTATACCCTTATCAATTTGGGTATCGTAATGAGCGTGGATTACTAACACATTCAGTTCTGAAGGAAAAATATGTAATTTTTCTTCATATGCTCAGTCTATATCATGCGCCTATAGCAACTTTAACTAGATAATGACACAGTAACAATAACAACTTGTACGAAAATTAACACAGTTACAATAACAGCTGCCACAATGGTTATGATGATACCCCAGATTAACCATGATGTATAAATTAATAAAGAATATACATTTTGTTTCAGTTTACTGCTTAATTTGATCGAGTACATTATTTATTTTGATTTAATACAAAGTGTTGCAATGTTGTTGACTTCGACGTTCCGTTTAGGGTTGAAGAGCTGCCGGGTTTTCTCACGAGCTGTCCCTCAGATGCCAAATTTTGAATATCAACCCAAAAAGTATTTGGTATGTATTCCTCCTACATAATTGTTAGAAATAATTTCTCTTGAAACACTGAATGTATGGCAGTAGCATGGATGAAGGATCTATCTATATGACAAAAAATGGTTAAAACTGTATATTTGATTTCTTTCATTCTGGTCCATCACACTAACAATATTATAAAAAGATAAAACAGTTCCGTTCAGTGTGACTGGTGAAGATCCTTCCTATCTCAGTCCTTCATGCCCGACAAACCTGGGACATTACTGCAGCCCCAGTCATTTCTTGCCGGTTCTCTTCTGTCTATAATGTGACACACTTTTTATTTTAGGTGACACCAAACTTACATTCAGCTCATTAAAATGTCAGTTAAAATGTTCTTAAAATATCATTAAAATTGTGTCAGGCTATGTGTTTCAGCCTCACAGGGTCATCGTGAGGCAACACATTTCTGATGGTACCTACTGCACTCTGCCTGCTTTTGTCAATAGTATGTGTTGCCTGAAGATGGCCCTGTGAGGCTGAAACATGTAGCCCGACACAGAATGTATATATATTTTAATGACATTTTAAGAATATTTTAACTGACATTTTAGTGAGCTGAATGTAAGTTTGGCATCATCTAAAATAAAAAATGCATTGCATCATAGATGGAAGAGAAACTGCAAGTGATACTGCACTGCAATGGGATGGTGAAACATAATACCCAGTTCTTGGCTGAGGCTTCACCTCTAAGCCTGGACTCAGCTAGAATCAAATGGCATTGTTTCTATTGTAAGACAGAATAGAGTGTGCATAGGAATGATAGATCGACTTCATTAAGTCTAAAGACATAAATGGTTTTATTGCCCTTATTGCATAACAAGCCTTATTTAGTCTTGATGACAGTTCAGTGATATGATCCTTCCATGACATTGTACTATCAATGTTTAATCAAAGGAATTTAGTACAATTAATATTGGTAATCACTGAGTTAGAAGATATTATTTGCATTTTTATTTCTTTATGTTTTTTAATAAGAATTGCAAGAAGTGTAATTTTTCACAATTCAGTGTTAAAAAGTTGCCATTGAACCAATTAATTGTCTCATTCAAGACTGAACTGACATTACCTTTAAATTCCTCAGGATTAGTGTTTGATATAATGATGCTGGTATCATCTGCAAATAATATTGGATTAGCCATTTTGTTTATGGTTAGTGGAAAATCATTTATGTAAATGAGAAATAGTAATGGACCCAATATAGACCCCTGTGGAAATCCATGTTTGACAGGCTCCCATTTGGAAGATACTTTATTAAGCTTAATATCGTTCACTGATACTCTCTGATGTCTGTTTTCTAAATACTGACCAAGGAAAAGATTTGATGAAATTGAAGACAGCTTCGAATGTTTGCCATGCAAATCCATGACGTGATTAGACCAATAGGCATAGATTTAGACTAAAACAATGTGGGCAGAAATTAAAAAATTACATCTACTGCCATATAAAATGAGAGAGACAATTATGGGAGAATGCACTTCTGTAACTGATTTTTGTGGGCATTACATGGTGGTCTCTGTGACCCAAAACTTAACATTCTTTATTGATGAAGCTTTGTTCCACCTGAGCTGGGATATCTGTGCTCAGAACAGTAGGTCTCCTTCTTCTTCTTGTTGCTCCCACTTGCAGCACAGGGCATTAATGAAATGCTAAGACAGTCGGTAGGACTCCTTGGACAGGGGATCAGCTCATCACAAGGCCACTACCTAACACAAATAGATATCCATGCCCTGAGCAGGATTGGAACTCATGATCCCAGTGTTCAAGTGGGCAAATACATTTCATGCCTTAGACCACATGGCCACTGTGATGGGCAGAACAATAGGTACTGGAGCAGTATAATCTGAGAGAGATACTTTTGAAGTGCTCCTTCAAGATCAGAAGATTGGTGTGTGGCATGCCATTACTGCTACATAAGCAGTAGGACCCATATTATTTGAAAAGATTATTAATTCTGGGTAGTGGGTGAGTTACATTCAGCATTGCAAAAAAAAAGAAGGCACAGTTATTTTATGCAAGATGGTGTTACAGCACACTAACACTCCATGGAGCTGAGTACTTCTTGAAAAGCTGCCAGTCACTCAGCTACTCAAGAATTTCCCCAACTTTTATGGAACCTGTGTTCACAAAAGCCCTTGACTGGCCCCCATCCTGAGCCACATCAATCCATTCTATACCACCCCGTCTAGCTCACACTGCTAATCATTCCATTAATGTTTTAAACGAGATGTTTGAAGACAACATGGTAAGTTACAGACTATGGCCTGCAACGTCTCCAGACTTAAATCCCTGTGATTTTTACCTTTGGAGAAATGTAAAAAATAAAGTGTATTCAAATATCTCCACACTGGATGAATTGATGTACAGTATTTGCGAAATAATTACATCTATCAAGATCAGTGAACTCAGACTAGTGTCAACACATTTCAGAGACTTGGATGTTTATTAAAGAGTAGAAGGGAGACATTTTAAGCATCTGGTGAGATGATGGGTTCTTCTAAAAAATGTATTTACTTTAAGAAATGCACATCTGTGTTCATAATGTGTGGCATATTAGAAGTGAATCTAGACTGTAACTTCCCAGCAGGTTCTGGCTAACAGGCCAATGGTAAGAAGGTCAGATGATTTAGCCATCAAAAAAGACTTTGCATAAAACAAATTATATGGATTAGTAAGTTTAATCACTGTCAGTTATAAAAAAGCTTTAATAATATTAAAATCAGCCCAAAAATCTTACATGCAGTGATTATTTAATCACAATACAAGGAAACTCATATATAAGTTGTTTTTTTGGGGGGGGGCACTGGATTTGAACACCAAACTGAAGGAAATCTTAAATGGAAGAAATTTAACTTTGGGATTATTGACTTATCACTGAAAATTCATGTTAAATGAATGAGAACCTTAAATCTGGGACCATTCAATCAAGGTTCCTCTGCATTTACTATCCTAACATATGATCTTGTTGTTTTCAATATTGGAAGCTTAATTTATTTTTAAAAAAATTGTTGTCAGATCTGACTACTGTCACATTTCTTTCTAGAAAAAGAGCACTGCTTGTTCTCACACTATTACATATGTGAATGCTATTTTTTGTTCAGGGCCCAAGCTATGAGAAAATGCAAAATATATGGGCAACCAACATTATAAGTGCCTTTGCACCACACTTCAAAGAACCACTTCTCATCCATGATGGAAAAATGCAATGGCTGTTTGATCATACTGGAAGAAGATACCTTGACATGTTTGGAGGCATAGTCACTGTCAGTGTGGGGCACTGTCACCCGTAAGATTATACCATCTATATAAAATACTTTTACATTCCATGGATAGGGGCATGCGGTAGCATAGTTGGTTGAGGCACTATGCTACAAGCCGGAAGGTCGCGGGTTCAAGTCCCCATGAGATCATTGGATTCTTTTGAATTGACCTAATCCTTCCGGCTGCACTATGGCCCTGGTGTTGACTCAGCGTCTAACGGAAATGAGTACCAGGAATTAATTAAATAATTTTCCAGGGGAATAAAGCGCAGCTGGTGCATAAGGCTGACAATTTTACCGCCATCTTTGAGCTGATTGTCTAGATAATGTGGGAGCCTCAATGTCTCACAGCCTGTTACAGTGATAGCTTTACTTACTTTTACTTACATTTCATGGATGCTTCATTCTGTAGGTATGTAACTACATTCCCACAAGAAATGTGAGACATATACATAGCAATTACAGGGTAGGTAACAAATACATCTTAGTTATAACTGCATATGTTCCAATATAGCACAGTTCATAGTAAAATATGAATACCATTGTGATGATTCTATGAATTATGTCTAGATTTACATTAGTATGCTAATGCATTAACAATTCAGTGCTGAGGATTTCCATCAGGTGGTATCCTTACACTTTCACTAACACTAAATCAACAACAGAGTATGAACCAACAGAGAAAAAAAAAAAAGTGTTTCCATTAAAATTAAAGTGATTAACCTTTAACATCCGAAGTGCCCTGATTGGGCCAGTGATGAGTATGGTCGTCATTGGCAAAGTACCCCGATTTGGTCAGTCGGGCATTTAAAATCTGCTAGTGGAAGGGCGCACATGTGCAACTAGTAGAAGCGCATGCACAGTTCTAAATATTTATTTTTAAATGTAGTAATTACCAGACCAACTTGAGTAAAACCCTAATAGAGGAATTAAAATGATACCTAATTGAACAAGGTTAAGGATGGAATATGGAGCATTTTTATTCCATAAACTTAAGTAGAAACAAGCACAGGAGCTAGAGAAGATACAATATAGGGCAATTCGCGGAGCACTGGGCTACATGAGTAGCACCCCGACCAATGTAATGCTGGCAGAAGCCAAAAGTCCCAATTTTTAGTAGATCCAAACAGTTGGGAAGGAACTATGTGTCCAGGTGTTATACGTCAAGCAACCATCCAATGATCCAGCTGCTGGAAGAATTAGCAGCTCTACTTGACAGTCCAGGGAGAGGAGAAAATGAACAACCACTCATCAGCGAATATTACAAAGAGGTAACCCCTATCAGTCATTTAATCCAATCAGAGAACTGTCCCCTGGCCTTCGACTACACATACAGAAGCCTCTTCTATGAGGCCAGGGTATCTTTCGATGAAGGAAAACAAATAAAGGAAGCAGAAGATCACAACGAGGAATTCAAAAAGATTATCCAAGAACGAATGAGAACCAGCAAATGTTTTGCCACAGACAGCTCAAAAATGGAGGGCAAACCATTCATAGGATTCGCATCAGGAGATATAAAATTTGGTCGTAGCATGAAATTCAGGATATCTAAGATAGCATCCACATTCACGGTGGAAGAATTAGCAATTGTCGAAACACTAGATTGAAAAAATAGACTCCGAGCAAAACTTCACGATTTTCTCAGACTCGGCAAGCGTGTTAAAAGGAATTAGTAACTCCTCTATAACAAGCAACACATGACACATCACACATATGCTAAAACATTAAATAGAGTGACTGGAATTACGAGGAAAAAAAAATCAATTTTACTGGATCCTGGGGCACTGAGGAGTGGAAGTTAATGAGAGGGCCGACTTGCAAAGCAAGCAATCAAACAAGGCAGAGATAGTCAATTACTGTTACCAGTTGCAGATCTTAAAACATCGTAGAAAAAGAAAGACAAAGAAAAACTTCACAGTTTTTGTCAAAACACCAAACGGGACAGAGGAGAAAGCTCCTTTGAAAGGCACTACAGGAAAGGCTCATCTCCATGGTTCTGACAAATAAAAATGAACCGCCACACCTTCGTGTCAATAAACCTTATGAGAGCAGGACACACCAGTCTTAAGCAAGCCTAAACAGATTTAATTTTGTGTCCACGGCTGAATGCGAATGTGGTGATGGGGTGCAAATGGAGGAACATATCCTCTGGGGCTGTAAACAGTACGAGGACCAAGGGGCAACAATGATGGACATTTTGACTGAGAACAGCAAGAAGCATTACCCAAAGTCAGTTACAAAGCTCTTAAGGCTAGAAGAAAAAAGATCTCTGGAAGGTGTCTGTTACTTCATAAACAACATTCCTATATTTATATAAAATAGATATGTAACAAAGTAAAAGAAGTAATTGTACTGATTATTTACAGTAACTCACAGATTAAATAAAGATCTGTATTAACAATCACAGGGTTACCGCTATTGTAGAATAAGATGTTTATTAGAATGTGCTACAGAAGGCCAAATGGGCATTGCCTAGGCCTCTTTTGTATTTACATTTTTTCCTACAATTAAAAAAAAACTAAATGCTTTAGTCTGTATTTGCAATGTCCACCTTTGCCCAAAGAAGTTCATACCATATCTCCAAACAGTGAGACTGCATAGCATATAGTATTTTTTTGTTAAATTCAGTATCTTAGAGTCTTTGTGTCATTAATCTAAGTACTGTAGTTACTACTGCCCTCTTGAGCAGGTTGTTTTATTTTATAGGAAGGTCTCAGAGGCAGCTGCACAACAACTGAATACACTGTGGCACACTACAAATATTTACTTGAACCCAAAATTGCATGAATATGCCGCAAAACTTACTTCCAAACTTCCTGATGATTTAAAGGTAGTTCAGTGAGTTTAACTGTGATTATTTTTTGTAATTAAATGCTAATGCGACATCTAGTTTACAGTTTAACCAAACTTTTTTCTATTTGTAGGTTGTTTACTTCGTGAACAGTGGGTCAGAAGCAAATGACTTTGCTGTATTTCTGGCCCGATTACATACCAAAAACTCTGATATAATTTCTTTACGAAATGCTTATCATGGAATGAGCTATGTAACAATGGCTCTCACTGCACAATCTTCTTGGAGAAATTCTCTTCCATTGGCTCCTGGTTTTCATCATGTAAGTAATAACATAAGTTTCTTCTGCAGTCTTAGTGCTGCTCACATTTGCAGTCAACGAAGATTTATGCCACAGCCTTCTGTTATCTTGTCCCCTTCTTGACGTGGCTCCTGTGCAGGTGTGGCAAGATTGGGCCAGAGATCTCTTGAGAGAGGTGAGTAGCCTTTCCATTAACAAGAAGAAATGTTTGGCCAGCAGAAGAAGCTGATCAGAAAGATACCTATTTAAGGTAAGTTGAGGGTTTAACTGATACTGGTTGTAGGTGTCCAGCTTGGATCAGTGGTGGGGGCTGTGGTGTCCCTGTCAGTGAATGACAGAGTGTGTCTGGGATATTCAAATGGCAACAACCCAAGAAAAGACATTTGGCTAGTATCCAGCTTGTTTGGGCATGGATCTCTGACCTCAGACTCTGTGTAGCCAGAGCTGACAGATATTAGGAGAACCAAAATTTAGAAAGTTTCAGATTAGCTAAGAGCCCAAGTAACTCTGGGGGCACAGACTGGACCCAGTAGGTTCTGAGTACTTGGGATAACTGGAGGTTGTCCAACCCATGTCAGTACTTAACTGAGGATGCTTTATTGATATTAGTAAGATATGTGACCTCAAGACTTGCTTGCGTCACCAGCTAACCTGAGGTTTTTATGATTTTCTCAGTCTCTGCAGCAAATATGGGATAATGCCTTAAAGTAGGTAAAAAAAAGTTTTCAGAGTTTTCTTTCTGATGCCATAAACCGGATACTTGTACAACAATTAGTTTCCGAGATACGTATTTTCTTTTTACTTGTATTTTGGATACCTTTCATCCGGACATTCTGTACATAAACATTCAGTTCGTACCTCAGAGAAAACACATTACTTCACTGCCACAAAGCCCAACCGGTTAATGCTGTTTAGGGAAATAATAGATGTTTACTGTGAGAACCATAGGGAACATAAATAATATAAAGATTCATTTCGTACCTCACAGGAAACACAATACGTATCCTCTACAAAGGCCAACCAGTTAACATTGTTTTGGAAAACAGTTGCTGTTTACTGTGAGAACCATATGGAACATACAAATAATATAGGCCATGCCATAGCTCAAGCGGTTAGTCACTGGCTTCCCACCTCGGTGGCCCGGGTTCGATCCCGGGGTCTGGTCAAGTGGGATTTGTGGTGGACAAAGTGGAGCTAGGGCAGGTTTTCTCCGAGTACTTCGGTTTCCCCTGCCAATCTTCATTCCACCAATTGCTCCAAAATCACCCTCACCTATCATCTGGGGCTGGTACAATAGGCCAGAAGTGGCCGCAGTACAAGGGACTTAGTCCCACCCCACTAGCAATAAAAAAAAAACAGGCATTTAAGAGCGCACCAGCAGCAGGCATTTAAATAAACTCTGGCCAGCTGAAAGTTACCACCATTTCAAAAGCCCGGTGTTTAAAGGTTAAGCGGGTATTGGTTTCCATAGTGGTAGATGCAATCTAGACTGCTACCCCAAGGAGTACAGCAAGTGATAGCAGTTGAGGTGGGATAACAGACCACACCTTAACAGTGGTATCAGCAGCTTGCCTTAGTACACCACTGCATAATACAACACAAATAAGTAACCAGTCAGTCACTGGTGACCAGAGATTGAGGAATTCCATTGTGAACGTACCTGAAATCAGCATGTTTAGTCATCTACTGAGAAGAAAATGAAGAATGTTTTTACTTTTGTCCTAAAGGTGACTTTATCTAACTCATTCCATAGAGCAGTCTTGAGAAGTTGACAGTCATTCAGCTACTCAAAAAAATCATCTTTCATAGAACACACAAGTTCAGTGGTGTGTTCACCGGAGCCCACCAGTGGAAATTATCATTAGTGAGTTGGTGAGTTGAACCCAGTTCACACACCTTATTTAACCAAACTAAACTAACTAACTCCATGGACCTAAGCCCTTCTGGTGAAGTTTGTCAGTCACTTAGCTACTCGAGAATTACTCATCAAATTATGGAACCCAAAGGCTCATTACTATGTTCACAAGAGTCCTCCACTTGTCCCTGTTCTGACCTAGATCAATTGAATCCAACCACCACATCCTATGTAAGCAAACCTATTTAACATTACCTTTAATATTATTTCCCTGTTTACACCAAGGTCTGACAAGTAATCTCTTTCCTTCACATTTTCTGATTAACAGTTACTACAAATCAGTTTTCAAGAATTTCTCAGTTAGATAATGAACATCAAGGTTCTTCTCCTCCTTTCTGATATACCATCCTTTGACACTACATAACCTAAGTAATAACATTATTGAATAACCTACAATCCAATCACTGTTATAGGTGAAGTCTAATAATGGTTATTACCTTACAGACCATGAACCCGGACGTTTACCAAGGATTGTGGGGAGGCTCCCACTGTCGTGATTCACCTGTCCAAACCACTCGTCACTGTGACTGCAAACCAGATGAATGTAATGCTTGTGATATGTACTATGGACAACTGGAGGAAATCTTCAAGTACTCTCTCCGTGCTGGTAACCTAGCTGGCTTCTTCACAGAAACTATTCAGGCTAGTACCTTCCCTTTGCATATACTGATTTTGTTTCATAAAAATTTGTGGAACAGTTTAATAAAACGTTTCTTTTCGAACAGGGTATTGGTGGAGTTGTTCAGTTTCCAAAGGGATTTTTGAAAAAGGCCTATGAACTTGTGAGGACGAATGGTGGTGTTTGCATTGCTGATGAGGTATTTATTTGCTTCTGTCTTGTTTATTCATTATTCAATAAATAATTTTCATTAGCAGAAATACATTTTCTTACATAATGCAGGTTCCCAGCCTTTATCAGGGTGTAGTTATGTGTCATTTAATGACACTGTTAGTATGTACACTATATAGCGTCAAATGGTAGGACGACCGATAAATTGGAAAGGATTTGGTAGGCAGTGGTCATGGCCTAATTGAAGTACTATCCTAGTATTTGGGTAGGAACTGAGGAAAGCCACGAAAAACTTAAGTCAGGGTAGCTGGTGCCCCAGCCAAGATTCTAACTGAGCACCTTCTGGATGTATGTCGATGAAATTATTGCTACATGAACAAGCTTGGAGATACCACAGAAGGTGGAGAGGAGAATATGTTAATGGGAAGCTATTAATATTGAGTATTTCTGTGTGTATTACTACTCCATTTGTATACATATACACAATATTAAGGAAACTCAACTGTAGAATATGTCTTATAATTTTTAGCTGTTTAGCATGGAGCTGTATGTGTGTGTATCAGGGGGGTTATCTTGCAATGCTGTAAATATCTGCTCAGAATTACTGCGTTTTCAGACTTTGTCCATCATCCAGGATTCTAAGAAACTAGAAAACACAGTGTTTCAGAAGCTGGATCTGTTGCCATCCTCTGATGAGGGGAGAGAAGACACCTATCAGCAGACCAGAGACTGAGGTTAGCTCTTTCTAACGGACACCACAGAGCAGGTGTCTCCCCTTCACCTGAGGATAGAAACAGATCCAGTTTCTGAAACACTGTGTTTTCTAGTTTTTTAGAATGTCACACAATGGACAAAGTACAAAAACCCAGTAATTCTGAGTGTTATACACCATCATCAAAACCCTTTAGAATCTACTTGTAAACATCTAGGCTATACAACATCACATGGCAGGATGACTGATGAATGATGATTTTACAGAATAGGGAAAGAAGCTGTAGTGCTTAACTGAGGTACTTTTTTGCACTTGCCCAGTGGGACCGAGGAGAATGACAGAGTACCTCAAGTAGGATAATTGGTGTCCCTGCCAGTATTTGAACCTAACACCTCCCTAATGCAAATCTTGAGTGTTACCACCAAACCAGCCTGTTCTGTGAGAGAGTGATAAGATGAAATCTCTCATTTTGCATCCAATGTAGGTACCTCCTACATGCAGAACTGTACAGAGGATCATTATTCCTCGTCATTCAATATAAATGTAAGTAATGATAGCGCAGTTGCTATAGCGACTGGCTACGGGTTCAACAACCGAAGGGTTAGAGTTTGAGTCCCAGTAGGGTCAAGATTTTTCTCCACGTCATCCAGACTGGCTCTGGGGCCCACCCAGCCTCCTATACAATGGGAACCAGGGGCTCTTTCCTAGGGGATAAAGCAGCATGGGCGTGAAGCTGACCACTCACCTCCAACTAATGCCAAGGTTGAGAAAATGTGGCTCTGTACATCCACTCCCCCATACATCGTCATGTCAACCTTGCCTGCCTGTCACATACCCTGTCCTTCCTAAAGAGGTTTTGATGTTACAGCAGCATAACTGTTACATCAGTGCTGGAGGAAATGGTCACATATGCAGCATGCCAAATGCTTAATGTAGTTATCTGAAAATTCTCAGTATTTGAGACTAAGACTACTTTTTAATCAATATATTTTCTGTTGATTCAGTCTCAGAATTTTGATGTGTGTGTCTAATCTCTATTATATTTAGGTACAGACAGGTTTTGGACGCACTGGAGAACATTTCTGGGGATTTGAAATGCATGATGTGATACCAGATATTGTCACCATGGCAAAGGGGATTTGTAATGGCCTTCCCATGGCCGCTGTTGTCACAACACCTGCTCTTGCACAGTCACTGAAAGGGGCATATTATTTCAACACATTTGGAGGTAATCCAGTGTCCTGTGCTGCAGGGCTGACGGTATTAAACGTAAGTTGAAGACAACAATTCACCTTTCTCATTAGGCACAAAATATCTCCATTAATTTGTTATTTATTATAGGTTCCATCAACACAATTCCTATCTTTACAACATATTTCGGCCATTTAGGGCCATCATCAGATAAATGACAATGGCCATAAATGGCCAAAATATGCTGTAAAGTAAAAGAGAGTATAAATTTATTCGCTTTATACAGGACTTATGTTGATGGAACCTACAATAAATAGTTCACACACATAATGATGCAGAAGTGCAAAGTTAAAGACTGGAGATCCATTGCAATGGACAGAGATGCTTGGAGGCTGTTGGTGCAGGAAGCCGAGGCCCGCAGGGGGCTGTAGAGCCAGTTGATGTGGTGGTGTATGCTGCTATTGCTGTGTGCACTGCCATGAAAGACAGTCCAGTGGTGGTGTGGTTGGAAGAGAACATCCTTCTTAATGTAGTCTTGGGTGCACTCTGCGACTTTCTCTTTTGCATCTCTTCCTTGGCGTGGCTGCATCCTCGATAGTCGGAGGGATGAAGTTCTTCTCCGTCCACCAACGTGCAGTTGCAGCATGCTGCATTGCCCTTTCCTGCGCACTCCTTGTGAAGGTCACCACTCCCGCACCACATACAAAAGGATGGTGCTTCCATTTAGCCCAGACATGGCCAAAATTCTGGCAGTTGTAACACTGCATGAGTCCAATCTGGGCTTTGTACACCTCTACCCTGACTGCAGTACTGCAAAGACATGTCAGTCTGAATATCTCCTGGAACTTTGATGTCCTAGGTAAGATTATGAGGAAGAGGGGAATGTCTGTTGTGGTTGTTAATTTTTTTATTGCTAGCGGGGTGGGACTAAGTCCCTTGTACTGCGGCCACTTCTGGCCTATTGTACCAGCCCCAGATGATAGGTGAGGGTGATTGTGGAGCAATTGGTGGAATGAAGATTGGCAGGGGAAACCGAAGTACTCGGAGAAAACCTGCCCCAATGCCACTTTGTCCACCACAAATTCCACCTCACCAGAACCAGGATCGAACCTGGGCTGCCACAGTGGGAAGCCAGTGACTAACAGCTTGAGCTATGGCACAGCCTACTGTGGTTGTTCCTTCTGCAGGTGATTAATGGGTGGCAGACGTTTGTTGATGCTAATAATGACAGTGCCAAAGTTCACCAACCTATCTCAGATGTCCTCTGCATGAATGCTGCATGGAAGGTGCTGTATTGCAGCCATTATAGGCTTCTGGGATTTTGGATAGAAGGTGAGGCATGGAATGTTTCTGGTTTCAAAGTGAGAGCAGATGGTTGAAAAATCCGCCACTTCTTTCCTGGCTACTCTGGTGCTACAGAACTTGAAGTTGCCTTTGATATTGTATCAGGTTCACCTGAGAGGTTAATATAAAAGGAGGCAGCCTACCTGCCTGGCATGATGGCACCTGATGTTGCTGTTGCTTGGTCCAGTCCTCCAAATCATCTCCATTTCATTGACCTCAGAGGGAGGGTGAGGGTGAAGATGTTCCAGTTGGGATCTTCATCCTACGACTGTAACTGAGGGCCGTTTACTCCTGTGGCAGATGTTTCTGGTTTCTTGGTTCTTTTGTCAGCATCATCTGACGGTTTTGCTTTTGTGCTCTCTGCTCGCGGAATTCCTCGTTGGATGGAGGTACAGTAATTGTCTTCCCTTTGGCAGCGCTCTCTTTGAGGACTGACGTCAAGTCATGTAGCACCTCTGTGTACACTCCATGCAGGGCGCTGTATGGCTGCTTTCCTTTCAGAAGCTGGTGGAGGATCCTCCTGGTGTCCACCATGTTTGGGACAATTAGAGTCCATTTAAAATTTTCGCCAACTGATGCAGGGGTATAGTTCACTAAGCAGACAATGGCAATGAGTACCCTGCATGCACGTTCCATAAGAACTTCAGTGTTAGGATGTTGCTGTATGGTATCCCCATATTACAACCTCAGAGCTTCTGAAATTCTGGGGTGGGTACATTTGCCATGGTATGTGTTACTACCACTATTATTATAACAGTTAATTCTATACAGTAACCACACAAAGCACTTGATCTACACAGGCCCATGGACTTCACTGACACTGGTTGCACCAAACAGGAGATGACCGTGAATCCCCCACACACAGCTTACTCCACTAATATTGTGTTTGCTTCATGGTCTTTACCGGCTGCTGCAAAACAATGGCTGTGACCCAGCGATAGCTGTCTCTTTCAGTCATCATGTCACAATATATTCATTTTCACTAAACTAAAATAATTGCATTTTTCAAAAACGTTGACATAATTTCACCTCAGTATATCCATTAAGATCCATTTTAATATTGGCCCCCACTTCTATGCCTACTTCTGACAAATTATTTCTTCCTGTCAGGTTTTTCCAACTAAATATTACATGCATTTCTAATCCGCCCCATATGTGGTACATGCCCCATCCATCACATCTTCCTTCATCTGATCACTGTAGTAATATTCAGTGAAGAGTACGAAGATCATCATCATGTGATTTTCTTCATCCTTCTGTAAACTACTTCTCTCTTACGTCCAAACACTTTGTACTTTCAGTAGTATCCTGTTCCTAAACACATTTGACATCCATTCTTCCCATAAGGTTGGAGACAAATTTTCACACCCATATAAAATGACCCCCCTCGTTGGTGTCTCCACCTTATCGTGGTGAGGGGGTTTGAGTATGCCAAGGACCCTGAGAGCTATACCAGCGGTAGCGTAGCTACTGGCAGGGCCTCCCTTGCTGGACAGGTCAAAGGGTAGGCATCAGACGAAGAGAGACACCAAAAACCAAAAACTGATGCCAGAAGCAGCGTCATCAGCAGCGACTTGAAGCACAGAACAAATGATGCTCGAGATGGTTCAAGTTCGTATAGCAACAGGCGTGACCAGAGTGGTTTGAATGGCTGTTGTACTGCGATGTGGAAAGCAAATGGAAAAACTACCACATTATCACTTTTCCTGGATAGTCTCTTTCCAAAAACAGAAGATCACATTAAGTGGAGGAACTGTTTTGGAAGAGACTGTGGACCTGTCATCTGACAGATTACTGATGAATGAATGAATAAAACGACATGAAAAATTATTGAATGTTGTTAGCCTTAAAATTTTAAATACAAGACGAAACAACAAAACTCTTATTTGGATATTAGTAAACATTCCACAGTGTCTGTCAAGAATGCAGTTTTGATTTGTCACTATCATTTGAAATACTTCATCTTTTTCACATTTACAGAGATATTAAATATTTTTATGCATTTATTTTGTCCTGCAGTATAGTGGTGCTACCTGAACATGCATTTAGTTTTCTCTTAGACCAGCCTTATTATTGGTGTTTCATAGAGCTTCCGTGTATTTCTTTATGGTTTGTGTGTTGCCCAGTAAATCAGCATCATCAGCACACAGCAAGAACTGCTGTATTGCAACAAATCAAGTATATTCAAGATAGTCTTGTCATTGTGCTGATTTTTTCAGGTGATTGAAGAAGAAAAGATTCAGGAAAATGCCCATGTTGTCGGAACACATCTTCTAAAGAAACTTGCAAAGTTGAGAGACCAGTTTGAATGTATAGGAGATGTTAGAGGAAAGGGACTGATGATTGGAGTTGAAATGGTTACTGATAAGGAGACCAGAACTCCTCTTCCAAGCAACCACTTTGTGGACATCTGGGATGACTGTAAAAATATGGGTGTTCTTATTGGTCGAGGAGGACTATACCACAATGTAAGTATTACTGATTCTAATTCCTGTTTTTGGACCTTACATTGAGTTCATACCCTTACAGTCTATTTAGCTAAGATAGTATTGTCATGTGTTAAGGGACTAGACAGAGAGCTTGGATTTGTAATTGGATTTATTGGATTCTTAGTGGCCTCCGTAGTCTAGGGGTAACGTTCACACCTCATGACTCAAGGTACGCGGGTTCAAACCTGGCAGAGGTCGTGGAATTTTTAAGGGTGGAAAAATTCAAGGAACAAGTCCTCCGGGAGGGACTTTAAGCCGTGGGTCCCGTGTCATAGCTTTACAGCATGTAAAAGAACCTCATGTCCCAAGGGGACCACTGAGCCAAATTCAGGACATTTCCCGCCCAACAGTAGTCTCTAATGCCTCTGGTAGATGGGGGAAGCATCGAGATACCACTGAGCCAGTAGGGGCCGAACTCGCTGGCTGAGTCAGGAATGATGGCACGCACCAGTACCGGCAGGGAATAGAGACTGGTAGAATATTATAGGGGGATGCACAATGGACCAACAGTTGGTCTAAGTGCATGGGGAAACCCACCCTCTCCAATACAATACAATATTGGATTCTTAAAACTTGTGGCTACAAGTAATTACCATTGTTTCACTATTTTACGCCCATCACAATTCACTACCTCACACACTAAATTTCCTCAGTCTGCGATTGTCTTCACCAGTCATTGCTTGGTAATGGTTCTCAACATCGTAGATTCCTTGGCTTCTTTGTGCTGTGACTCCTGTCCTTACTGGCTGGCATCCGTTTCACACTAATTCTTCATGGCTGCAACTCCTGGCCATTGACTCCTAGTATGGCCTCCACTGGCTACCATTGGCTAGCACTCGCTTCTACCTCATCTGCAGATTGCTAACCACTCCCTTCTCAACTCACTTTTTGTGAAAGGTCAAAGTCAAAGTTACGTTACACCCAACAGTTAGTAGGTGAGTAAAGCACCTATCTGGAGCTTAATTCCAGATCTTTGTTCCTGTCAGGCAGTTGCAGGTTTGTTGATGTGGGGCGCTCTTTCTGATGAGAGGACAGGTCTGTCATTTGCCAGAGTCACAGACAGCAGTAATAAGTCTGTTGTCAGTATGTACAATTTACATATTACATGCTGCATCTTCTCTGATTAAACTATTCCAGCTTTCAGCATACATGCCACAATCTTAACACTTTTCTCCCATGTGCATCATTGTCCTATATGTCTTTTGGAATGGGTTGTTCTTCAAACATTTTATGTGCACTTCTCATTTGTCCCTGTGTGCCACATGCCTATCCTTTCTCAACCTACATACATTAGTCACTGGTTAGTCGCTGGATTCCCACTGTGGTGGCCTGGGTCATCACGTTGGATCTGTGGTGGCCAAAATGTCGCTGGGGCAGGTTTTCTCCGAGTACTTCGGTTTCCCCTACCAATCTTCATTCCACCAATTGCTCCACAATCATTTGGTGTTGGTACAATAGACCAATAGTGGCTGCAGTACCAAGTGGACTCAGTCTCACCCCATTACAGTAGTCATTATCGTTGTTTGGAACAGTTATTTTCTCACCACTTGTGATATTGATGTGTCTCCTGTCTTGTCCACTAACATTTTACCATACACTGCTGCAGTGTCTTGCACTGAACTAACTTGCACCTAACCTCACATACTATTTCATGTCTGTTCCAACTTCTGTTGGTGCTAGCTGTCCACACCCAACTAAGACTGGGGCTATGTTGTCCTCTTCATGCCTTGCACCCATAGTTTTATGGCTGCAGTCACTCTAGAAGTCCGATGGGGGCTCTCGGTTATTCCTTGGCCTTCAGCAGTCTCTGGAACCATTTGGAAAGGGAGGGTAGGGGGAAATCCCAGTGTTTCCTGTACACTCAGCTCACATGACAATACTATGTACACCCACACACCAAATAAATATAGACTGAACAGAATGGTGTAGTGGTACACTTCTATTTTGCATTTTGAAGGTGCTTGGTTCAAATCTTGCCAGGACACTGGCTATCCTGATTGAGGGTTTTTGCAGTCTTCCTTAGTCCCTCCAAACAAATGCTGGATCATCATTTGATCAGTCATCCTGCCATTCAATGGTATATAGTCCAAATGCTGACAGCAGTGTGAGATAAACCATAAGGAAAGATGTAGGATATAAACAGGAACATGTATTTTAACACAATGCCTCGCCTGAGGGTACATGTGCCCATTTCTCTTAATCTGATATGATCTTAACAATAACGAGCTCACTGAGAAAACTATATGACAGAGGTTTGTTCCCTGTCATTGGTAATGTGAAAATAAAATGAAATGTTGGTATATGTGCTGAAAAGTTTGGGTCAAACATTTTTCATGGTAGATTTAAAAGTGTTCTGACGATGGTGTATAGCACTCAGAATTACAGGGGTTTTGGACTTTTTCCATTGTCTGGTATTCTAAAAAAAATAACTAGAGAACATAACGTTTTGGAAACTGGACCTGTTTCCATCCTCACATGAGGGGAAGGTTAGTTCTTTTGAAGGGACCCAACAGAGTAGGTGTCTTCCCCCTCACCTGAGAATGGAAACAGATACAGCTCCCAAAACACTGTGTTCTGTAGTTTTTTTAAAATACAGGGCAATGGATAAAGTCCAAAAGCCCAGTAATTCTGAATGATTTTTCTTAGTCAGTCATACATTATGATATATGTATCATGAAGTTCACCACAATAATATTAAAAAATTGTTCCTGCCACACAAGAAACACAATGCTGCTCCATTACAATGACCATTCAGTTAAGACTGTTGGGGGAAATAGTTGCTGTATACTCTGAGAATCATATGAAACACATAAAGTCACTCTGTGGGTTAAATACAGAGATTTTCTTTTTCTAAGGACTGAACTGGTCTTACAGGTATTCCGAATGACACCACCAATGTGCGTCACCAGAGAAGATGTTGATTTTGCAGTTGGTGTGTTTGAAGCAGCAATTCAGAAGCATCAGAAGGTATTTATGAAGTAGGCACAACAAATCTGCAGTGAAAGCAAGATATTACCATTTTATGTACCCTGATAACTTTTAAACGAACTGATGGATTCTGATGAATCTTGGTATGAATATAGAACTCTCTAATGCACTTCACTTTATATGTTTTGCCTCCAATGTGGCTGTGTGAATTTCTAAGGTTAGAGTAAATCTAGCACCAGTTAATATACAGCCCTGAAACTTTTGTGTGATTCAGTTCCTTGATAAGTATACAATCTTTATCTAGATAATTGCTCCCAACACCCTGGGGGAGGGGTTAGAATGTAGAATAAGAATATGAAGGCCCCACAAAATTTATATTTTGCTTTCTGTTTGATAGTAATAATTAATGAACCAGTGGAGGCCAGCATATGAAATTTTGTAATGACATTGTAACTGTAAGTTCTGTATGAATACAGAATACCTTTCTTTCACATCTCAACAATTACAAATATAGCAGTGGTGCAAAACTGATATTATATTTTGTACTTTTAACATAGTCAAAACTTTGCTGCAGAAAATTATTCATGAATATGGAATGCTATGTTATATAATTATTAATTTATAGTTGCTGTTGCTGATCACAGTGGCCATGCGGTCTAAGGCATGAACTGCTCAAACACTGGGATTGTGGGTTTCGATCTCATTTGAGGCATGGATGTCTGTGTGTGTTTATTCTGTGTTTGTGTTAGGTAGTGGCCTTGTGATAGGCTGACACCCTGTCCAAGGAGTCCTACCGACTATGTAAAAGATCAAGAAACAGAAAGAGCGGCCAAGGTTCAACAAAGGGCTATAGAACCATAGATAGATAGATAGATGTTGTTGGTTTCATCACATATACTAAACTTTACTGCTCCTGTGACTGCGTGTGTTATAGAGTATAACACACGCAGTCACAGGAGCATGACACAACACAGAGCACAATACACACACGAAAGTAGAAAGAGTGCTCCGACAGAAGAGGATAGGTGTGACTCGCGTAGTGAGATACGATGTAGGGATGAAAAATCCTGAACAATTTTAATATATTTAATTTAATATTTATCAATATATATGATAAATATATATTTTAGTTATTTTAATATGAAGACAGCAAGGCATGCAGTGAACTAGTTTATCGTAAATCGAATAAGCACCTAAAGATGGCACTTTTGTGCCGAAACATGTAGTGCGAGAGAGAGGAGTGAGACAGATGAGTGTATGCACTGGAAGACGGTTGAAATAAATCATGGAAATACAGTTATATTGTGAAGGAGCTGGAACACAAAATTTGTTAACAGAGCTAGAAGAGAAACAAATAGTGGTTTGGCCATGTAGAAAGAGTGGACAGTACAAGGGCACCAAGAAGGCCACTATATTTATGTCTAGTTTGAGCTCTGTTAACTTCTCTTTATTAATTTACCAGCCTGTATAGGATTTTATGAGTTATTTTTTGTGAAGTTTATATCCTGTTCCAACAAATTAACATTAGAAAAAAGTATCTGATTTAACTCATTCATGTCCATCCCTGTCCAATTTCTTGGAATTTCCCGATGACATATTTTAGATCTACAACATAATTAAAGAGTAATGGGGATAGACCATCTCCTTGAAGTATTCAATCATTTAAGTGTATTACAGAATGATGGCTTCTGCACATGAACACACATATTCCAGTCTGATTTGCTGAGTCCAGAAAAATGCCATCATAAAGGTTCACTACATAACTGGTGATACCTCCAGTGTTATAGCGGCCACAACACTGAAAGCTATATTTTGTGCACATCATATTGATCATTCCTGTACCCGACCTTTTTTAAAACTGATGACTTGAATAACATATGCCAGGTGTTTTGTTAATACAGTCTTATTAAACTGAGTTCCATATACTCAAATTTGTTTGGAGTATATAGGGAATGGGGTGTGCGGTTGCATGACAGAAACTCTTACGGAGAACGAGTACAGAATCAAAATAAATTTTTACTTCAGTTCTAACATGGAAGTCTTCCTACAGTCGACACTGATGGGTGAACAATTTCAGATACATTTAGCTGTAATGCCACCATAAATTCAACTAGCCTCTGCTATAATGGCACCTGTATAGAGGATGGGTAGTGCTGCTAATGGGAGCTGGGAGAACTACCGCACAACGGGTGAAGATATCTGCATTCCAACTTTGTTTCTAAAGTTATTTTATGAAATGCAGTAAATTCTTTTTTAAATTTTTCCCAGTTAGATTGGCGGCTTGTGGTAGCATAGTTGGTTGAGGCACTATGCTACAAGCTGGAAGGTCACGGGTCAAGTCCCAATGAGGTCAATGTATTTTTCAACTGACCTAATCCTTCCAGCTGCACTATGGCCCTGGGGTTGACTCAGCCTCTAACATAAATGAGTACCAGGAATCTTCCTGGGGGTAAAGGGCAGCTGGCACCTAAGGCTGACAACCTTACTGCCATCTGTGAGCCAACCATCTAAAGAAGTCTGACAAGTCTGACTGTAATATATATTGGTGCCTAATATGGGGTCATCAGATGTAAATATATCTGGCACTATTAGAAAAATAAAATGTTTGCACACAAGGGTAACATAACAAAAACACCCATGAACAATGCATAACAACCTAATACAGGGTGTACCACGACTTTAGGGCATAACTGGAGGAGGTGATTTCCTAGGTCTTTGTGAGCAAAAAAGTTCGTATAAACATGTGTCTGATTTTGGACGGTTACGGAGTTATGACCTTTTTTCATTCCCATACACACCCTCGTATGAACCATGTCTGTCAGCTGGCAGGTCGCTATCTTTAGCCAGCTACAGACAGAGCGTTCTCATTATCTCGGCACTTGAGAGCTACCTATGGTGGGGGGGCTTGGTATGTCCGGCGTAGTTCACAACCAACCAGCAGCCTGTGTTGCAGCTGGTGGCGACATTTTCGAAAATCAGCTTTAAGCACCAATCAATTCAAATTAAAGGTAATTTCACGAAGTTAACTTTACATTCATACTTGAAATGTATCATGCATTATGCTGGTTTATTAGTTTGTTCCGTTTATTGTCAGTAATCGTTACCTTATATTCTGAGTTTAAAACGGTCATAACTCCGTAACTGTTCAAAATCGGACACATGTTTGTATTAACTTTTTTGCTCACAAAGACCTAGGAAATCACCTCCTGCAGTTATGCCGTAAGTCGTGAAGCACCCTGCATATATATTAACAAATGTGCCTTTAACAGACCTTATAGAAAATCCATGCCATATTCATAAATACAGATTTCATTCATAACTTAACATATTAAATTCGTTTTTGAGCTACAGTAATACATTAAAACCACCTGAGATATGGATGGGAATTTCAATTATGCTTCTTTGAAGAAACTAAATTGTTCGCATATATAGAATACTGCAACAGACATTTTCATAGTCTGATAATTTCAACATTGTGCATATCACAAACATCCATCTTCGAAACTCTCATACAATAGTTCAACACGTTTCAGTCTGGCTCACATGAAAGCCATCAATATTTATTTTTTATTAAGTATCAATGACAAATATTCCTGAAGACTACAATGTACCTTTTGGTTCTATAAAAAAAATTGGTAATTTCTTGACCAGCTTGGTAACTCTCAGCTTTCCAAGAAGGACATTGCACCACACTGATTTAGGTACACTCGGGTCAGGGAAAGAATGCACAGAATGTCCCATTCATAGTATACCTAGGAGCCAACTCCGCACTGCATGACTTCCACCACTTTCACCAGCTATAAACCTGTGTTTCTGTTGTAAGATTTGAGGCTTTCACGGCGGTGACTATGAAGAAAGCAGTCTTCTGGGATTTGGCGCCGTGTATATGTGGTGTTAACCGACGTTTCGGAGGAACGTATCGCCCCCATCTTCAGGGTTGAAGAAAAAGTATAGGTAAATCTGCAAGCGACAACACCGTGAGACACGGTACCGTTCCTAATTTCAAAGAGTTTGACATTATTATTGCAATATATATAGATACATTTATTATGACTTCGAGCCGCACTATGGCCCTGGCGTTGACTTAGCCTCTAGCAGAAATGAGTACCAGGAATCTTCCTGGGGGTAAAGGGCAGCTGGCATGTAAGGCTGACAACCTTACCGCCATCTGTGAGCCGACTGTCTAAAGAAAATGTGGGAGCCTTGACGTCTCACAACCCTATGAGCCTTCACAGCCTGTTACAGGGATAGCTTTACCTTTTACCTTTTTCATACCAAGTTGATTTAAACATGTCTGTCATAGCACTAAATGTTTGCATTAAACTTCTAACTACCTGGAATGCAACTCAGTCACAGGGGCATTTGGCTGCCTTAATCAAAGTTTAGACCTCCAGAAGAGGATCTGATGCATTGAAAAGCACATAATTTGATGGAACATCCTGGTTCAGAGTCTTGCGTAACTCACCACGGGCCACTGCTGTAACATATATCATTAATGATACCCCTATCACCACCTGAAAATGAGATTTGCAGCAGTTACAGATATTATTCATAACAGATTTAAATACTGCCTACCAATTGGCAGTGATTTGCTGTACATATATCACATAAACCAGTTACCAGGTCTGCAAAGAGTCATGTGAACTTACCCCCAAATTGTTGACTGGTTTTACCTTAATCAGTCAATCTGAGAGCTAAATTTTGGAGAGATTTGTATATGAAGAATATACAGAATACAGACAGTCCCCTCTTTATGAAGACTTGCAATATGAAATGCTGCACTCTCATGAACTTTTATAACAAAGTGTATACTCTTGGCTTGGCTTGGCATCTAAATGTGAACTCATTCATCTGAAATCACTTCTGAACGAAAATGAATTCATGGAAATGGAAACAAAGAAATGCATAATTGCCTAATCAAGTCATCTAAAGCTCTGCACTAGTGGGCACTTTATATAAGACTTTGATGTTCCTTACACTATTTTAACAACTAATACTGATATTTTTATAGCATAATAGGGTCTCCAGTGGTTATACCATAATGTAACATTTTTTCAACGTTCTGTTTCAAGCAACAAAATTTACAATTTTATTTCTAATATGGGAGGATGCTGAAAGTAATGGGGGACCTGACACTGTCCCCCCCCCCAAAAAATGAACTTATGCAAAGTATAACAATTACTAACCTGAATGAAGATAATGAGACCAGTAGCTGCTGTTGACTTATTTGAAAGAACTTCTTCCATTGATCTGAGGGTGCTACCCAAATATACATTAATGATTTGTGCTGGGAAAAGCCCCAGAACGGTTGCGATTAAGTATTTCTTTGCATTGATATTACTAACCTGTAAAAAATAATGGGTTTATATAACACTCAGTCCCAACATAACCTCACTGTGTTACCTATTGCAACAATACAATGCTGTAATTAATCAGTCTTATAATAGTAAGTTCTTCACTTGAATATAATAGTGAATTGTACATAAAATAACATACTATTAGTATTTAACATATGACCAATCAACTTACAGCAAAAACTGTATTCTGCAGTCCAAATGGTATTGGTGTTAAACGAGCAAACATTGCAACTTTGAATGCACGAGGACCTGATACAACCATTAAAATAGCACGTATTTTGTCATTATTACACAGTCTTTTAAGTGGGAACTTGGTACTGAGAGTTCTCATAGTATAGTGGGCAATAGCAACCCCAATATTACCAGCAACGACAACTGTCATAAGGCCACGAGGAATTCCAAATAAATACCCTGAGGAGATTACTAAAAATGTGTAACCCCATGTCAATGGAAACGATACTAATGTAAACATTCCTAGAAACATAACATAAATTAACCAATGTTCTTGAGCTTCTGCCCATAATAAGACGACTTTTATATAGTACTTGCATTCATAAAGAAGTAGGATAATGCATAACAAAATCGCCAGCAATAAGCAACTGAATAAATTGGATTTTATGGGCAAAGAACCTCTGATTAACCTAAAAGTAGACACACTTTCTTCTACGTTAGCCATTGGTTTCAGTTTTACAGAGCACTGTAAAACTTCGCACCTCTCGGATGAATCTTCATATTTTCTTCATCGTAACTATGTTATCTGAGATTTATCAGTTTTAAATATAGGCACACTCGATTTATGTAACCACAACCACTCTATTTACATTCCCGGCAGTAATGAAGATCGATTATCGTTAAACGATAGGAGATCGAAACGAGTGAAAGCTGTCGATAGATACAATCGATATTTCCTACGATGAAGTTCTTAAGCATGACTACAGATAGCATATATCTAGTCCGTTGCTTGTCTTGCTACGTGGGATATGCTATCTGGAACGATCTAGAACTCGAAGGTTGAGGACGTGAATACAAAAGCTGGTCAGTTTTGATTGTTGAGATTCGTTACCAGGAAACAACTAGTGATATTGTACTGGTGTAGCGATATTTGAGAGCGGTAACCTAGCAAAGAATAGTAGGAGCAGATTGAGAACACACAGGGTGGTGTTAGAATACAGTAATTAATTTTTGTATTCTGCTGAATTTTATTTGATTTTCTACCTAAAAGTAACATGTAATTAATGTGCGGGTTTCCGGAAAACATACAACGGCTGGGAGTCCACGTGCTTCTGACCGTTGACTCTCCCAAAATAGAATGAGTGGCCAAGAAATGGAGGTAGATACAATGGAAGAGGTAGAAATATATGACGAAGCTGGGGAAGACGTGGTGATGGAAGACATGGATTATGCAAAGTTAAAGAATAAGATTGTCAAACGAAAGAAGATTGTTGCGGGAAAAACGGGACCTGAATTGTCATCAGAAGAGGAACTGAAGCCACAATTTAGCACTGTTAGAAGCCGTAAAAAACAAGGAAATCGGTAACCCATGACGTAAAGAAGAATACTAATAGACCTCAAAATTTACAGGCGTCACGGACTCATAACGAAGCCAAGGATAGGACAGAAGAAGGAACGATTCAACAGGCAGAGTCTGAAACACAGAATCTGGGAAATGTAGGTACAAACAATGCAAAGGAAGACCTGGGATAAGGTTTCAAGAGCAATAGAAATGAAAATTCAGTGACCTACGTTTTAATATGTACGATAAAGGGCCGTACAGCATCCACATAAAGGTCAAGAAACCCGATACCCCATCGATGGAAAGAGAAAAGGAAAATAGGTGGGGACAATTTGATATCTTCAATGTTATGTCTAAATCCAAGATCAATTTCCAATCCAATAGACAATATGCTCGATATATCTGGGAAGTGACCTCTGGAAGAATAGAAAACAAATAAAGTTTTGGACAGCCCCATAATCCAAAATGAAAGGCTAACTGCATACATACCGAGATATATGGTTGTTAAAAAGGGTGTCATTAAAGATATACTCGAGGATATGGAATTAGAAAATTTGACGCGACGGCTCAACTGGGGAAATCAGAACAAACATCTCATACCTTTCCAGGTAACTGACGCAGTCAGACTTAAGATGAGAGACAAAGAGAAAAACAAAGGAGAAAGATGGGTCTGGAAAGAGTCGAGGGCAGTATGTTTGACGTTTAGAACCAAGGAATTGCCCCCTCCTGTATGTTTTTGCACTATGAAAATTGAAGTTACTAATTCTGTTGCAGCAGTACGACAATGTTACAAATGTGGGAAATTCGGCCATATAAGTAAATTCTGTACGAAGGAAAAAACAATGCTTCTCATGCGGAGAAGCAAAACATGAAGGGTCTTGTATTAAAAATGCCTAAATCGTAACCGTAGCCACAGAGCAGAAACAGCGAGCGATGCCCCGTAATTAAAAAACAGAAAGAAATCAATCAACTCAAGGCTCATAGAAATGTCGGATTTTTGGAAGCACGAAAAATTGTAGAAAAGTGGTCACAACCCTGGAGGTCGAGCCATGCGTTCCCTTTAGGTGCTGGAAGCCCCAGAGGGTACGCGGAACCAAATATGAGGAACTTCCCCTTTCTCAAAACGCCAACAAGACGAGAGGAGTGGGATACTATTGAGAAAAGCGAAAACAATAAAGTCCCGAGTCGAACGAATGGATGGCATCCGGAGAGAAGGCAAAGGAAGATGAACACGGATAACAGCAGGACTCAAATACAGTGGAACCGAGTTCAAACAAGACTGAGCAAAGGAACAACTCTAAAGACCAGACAGTGCTACAGAAATCTTTAGATGAGTTGGAGTTCATTGAGATGGAGGACGAAGTCAAGAACGTACTGGTGACAATAATCAATTTAGTGATAAACTCCAGGGACGCTAAAGCTATGGTCAGCAGTGGCGGTTCATAGTTCTCTTGTGTGGTGGCGCTAGTCACTATATTTAATTCGTGGAAATTGAAAATTGATTTTATATATATATTGCCAATNAATTATAGTCTAAGAAGCTATGACAGAACAAGGTATTTATAAGAATGTGCTACAGAGGGCTCGATTGGCACGGGCTAGGCCATTTTTGTATACATATTCATTAAAAAAAGATAAGAAAAAAAGAAAAGTACAACAGATAAAGAACATTCCTCTACAATAAAATATATTTAATAGGTTCACTCTGAAATTCTACAAAACAGAAATCCCATTCACAGCACAAAAATGGAGAACATTATCTTCTGGGATGTGTTACTGTGTAGTCTAGCAAAAGTTCACCGCTGTTTTGAAGGAATACGCCACCTGCAGCTTCAGTGTCAACCAACCAAG